GGAAACCGGTTTACGTTTTTAAAATGTCACTTTATTTTGAAACAATAAAAAAACTTATTTATAGCAATACACTAACTAAAACACGATTTAAAAAAATGTTCCACACAAAACAAACTAGAGGTTCTAAAGAGCCTGTGTCGGTCACCTTGGTCTATGTGCATATCAAACAAAGGACATTCTCCAACATTGTAGACAAGAATAGACTTCATGACAAAAATCTCTATTTTGTTGATCTTGTATTACTGATCTTTTAGTCTGTTTAGTTTCTCTCTTATATATCTTCTTTACTTTTTGCTCAAAACACAAAAGAGGGTAAAAAAAAATTCCTCAATTAAGGGCAATCACTCTTATGAAGAGTGACAGTCTACTAACTATATCAGCAAAATTTGACTTTTTAATAGATCTTGCCTTGCTGATCATTTTTGTGATTAAAGTGTCTATTTATCTATTATAATTTAAATCATATATATAAGGCATAACAGAAAAAAAAATATGTTTCTCTCTTAATATCATAGTTTTCATGCTAATAGGCAAAAATGAAAGAAAAAAAAAGGTAAAATTTCTCATTTATGGGCAATAACTCATAAAAGAATTTGTCTAACATTTTTGAAATGTATGGAAAATTGGTAGAGCTCATTAATCTGAACATTTTTGCTCCTTTCAGTTTTTCTCTATTTATAACGGTTCAAAAAATAATAGACAAAACTTGCATTTTACCTCTATGTTATATTTCTAGCCATGTTGGCCATGTTGGTTGGTAGGCGGGGTCATCAAACACATTTAAACTAGACACCCTTATGATCATTGTGGCCAAGTTTGGTTAAATTTGTCTTCGTAGTTTCAGAGAAGACTTTTGTAAAAGATTACAAAAATTTACAAAAAATTGTTAAAAAATGACTATAAAGGGCAATAACTCCTAAAGTGGTCAATTGACCATTTTAGTCATGTAGACTTATTTGTAGATCTAACTATGCTGAACATTATTGATGTTTACAGTTTATCTATAATAATATTCAAGATAATAACCATAAACTGCAAAATTTCCTTAAAATTAGCAATGCATGGGTAACAACCTAACAACATGTTGTCCGATTTGTCTGAAATTTCAGGGCAGATAGATCTTAACCTGATGAGCAATTTTACCCCATGTCAGATTTGCTCTTAATGCTTTGTTTCAGAGATATAAGCTAAAATCTGCAATTTACCCCTATGTTCTATTTTTAGCCATGTCGGCCGTGTTGGTTGGTAGGCGGGGTCATCGGACACATTTTTAAACTAGATACCCTAATGATCATTGTGGCTTGGTTGGTTAAATTTGTCTCAGTAGTATCAGAGGAGAAGATTTTTGTAAAAGATTACAAAAATTTACAAAAAAATGGTACAAATTGACTATAAAGGGCAATCACTCCTTAAGGGGTCAGTTGACCATTTTGGTCATGTTTGACTTTCTTGTAGAGCTTTCTTTGCTGAACATTATTGCTGTTTACAGTTTATCTCTATCTATAATGATATTCAAGATAACCAAAAACTGCAAAATTTCCCAAAAATTAGCAATTCAGGGGCAGCAACCCAACAACAGGTTGTCAGATTTTTATGAAAATTTCAGGGCAGATAGATCTTGACCTGATGAACATTTTACCCCTGTCAGATTTGCTCTAAATGCTTTGGTTTCATGGATATAAGCCAAAATCTACATTTTACCCCCTATGTTCTATTTTTAGCCATGGCGGCCATCTTGGTTGGCGGGCTGGGTCATCGGACACATTTTTAAACTAGATATCCTAATGGTGAGTGTGGTCAAGTAGTTTCAGAGGAGAAGATTTTTGTAAAAGTTAACGACGGACGACAACAGATGACAACGGACACCAAGTGATGAGAAAAGCTCACTTGGACCTTTGGGCCAGGTGAGCTAATAAAAAGGGAGTGAACGGACCCAGGGTGTGAACGTGTAGGTTGCAAACGTGAATTGGAGCGAACGTGAATTTAGGCGAACAGACCCGGGTTCGACTTGGGACAGGCACATAAAGAAAGTGGCGGGGTTAAACATGTTTGTAAGCGCTCAACCCTCCCAAACCTGGGAAAGTGGTGTAACAGCACAACACAAGAACAAACTATTAAAATCAGTTGAAAAGTGCTTAACTCGTCAGATCAATAGAAAGCCGAAAAACATCAAACAATAAACTGCTTCGCCGAGCGCAGCTGGATACGACCGCAGAGGTCCAACCCTGAACTGTTTGGGCAAAAATGGACACAATATTCAAGCCGAAGTTGATACAGGTCTGAATTTGGATTGTAATTAAATATTTGACACATTATAAGTTTCTGACACAGAATAAATGTAGTCAAAGAACTTGAAATTGGTTGTATGATTTGAATTTATATTCAATTGAAGATTTCTTGCTGTTGTGCAACACACTGTGCTGTTGCGCAATACTTAGTAAATCTGTTTTCAGACTATATACCCTGAATTAGCAAAATAAATTGTGACCCCCAATTTTTTTCTTTGGAAAATTGACAATTTCTTAAATCTTGAATTAAAAAAAACTGCCCCCCCCCTAAAATATTTTTTAGCCCCCTCCTCCTTTTCCAAAAAAAAATAATTTTGACGAAATTTTCTTTTTGTAAAATGTGGTACAAATTAAGAGACATCCAAACACTTAAAATCAAGTTATTGTCTGAAAACTAAAAAAATGCTTGTTTAAGACCCTTTTTGGCCCCTAATTCCTGAACGGTTTGGGCAATTACCCCCAAAATGAATCCCAACCTTCTACTTGTGGTTTTTAACCTTGTGGTACAATTTCAGAGTAATCAAAATACTTGTACACAAGAGTTATTGTCCTGAAACTAGAAAAATGCTTGTTTTGGCCCCTAATTCCTAAACGGTTGGGACCATCACCCCCAAAAACAATCCCAACCTTCCTTTTGTGGTATTGAACCTTTTGGTTAAATTTCATAGAGATCCATACACTAAAACTAAAGTTATTGTCCGGAAACCAAATGTCTTAGGACGACGCTGACGACGACGTGATACCAATATTCGTATAAAAACAGAGACCGGAAGTGGCCAGGGTATTAAATTACTATTAATTCATCCCTCATCCCCAACAACAAAAAAGACACTTATAAAATTGAGAATAGAAACAGGGAATGTGTCAATGAGACAACAACCCGACCAAAGAGTAGAGAACAGCCCAAGGCCACCAATGGGTCCTCAACACAGCGAGAAAATCCCACACCCGGAGGCGGGCTTCTGCTGGCCCCCTAAAAAATAATGTATACTATAGCTAGTTCAGCGAAAATGGACGTCACACTAAACTCCGAAACGTATACATGAACTGAAATGAAAAAAAAATCATACAAGACTAATAAAGGCCGGAGGTTCCTGACTAGGGACAGGCGCAAAAATGCGGATGGGTTAAACATGCTTTGTGAGATCTCAACCCTCCCCCTATACCTCTAGCCAATGTGGAATAAACAAACCCACAGCAAAACGCATAGTGAAACTCAGTTTAAAAACATAAATTAAAAAGGACTACTAGCAGTTACTGACATGCCAGCTCCAGACCTCAATTAAAACTTATTGAAAGATTATGTCTTCATCATATGAAAATCAAGCACAATCCCTCCCGTAAGAGGTTTAGTATCATACCATCATAAATTATGCTTGAAGAACATAACCAATATCATGCAAACAACTGGTTTTAGAAGAATTGTGTTTATTTCCGATGCAAAGATCCTATGAGTGAATAAATATTACTGTAATTCAAAAAAATGCCATCTTTATTGACTTGACAACTACAGAGACATATAATGTATTATATGTCTCTGACAACTAAGTACAGATCTGAGAATACTCGCAGTTACTGACAGCTAGTTCAAAGCCCATAACAACTAATAAAAAAAAATTATGTATCTAAGAATAAAATATCAATCAGTAAAAATCCAGCATCCAATGGATTTAGTGTAAAGACGTCATTAACAGTCAGAGAAAAACATTACCTTGTGCAATGCCAAAATATAGGCATCGACAGATTGTAGAACCGTGAAAGTACATATGTATATTACAATAATATTTAGTATGGTTTTAATTTACTGATAACAAAATCAATATCTATACCAATAAAAACAATATTCAAAGATTAAATGTTCCTTTCGGAAAGTTTCAGAGTAATGACCCTGTAAGTCAGTTGTTATTTTGGACTTATGTGCCATATTTGTTCCTCTCTTTTGAATTGTTTCATTTTTTGTCTTGAAGGGGCCTTAGAGAGATTACTACACGATACGGGTTTACTCATTGTTGACAGCTTATTTGTATAATAAGGGTTGGAAGAGCCTTAATCCTTCAGCATCAGCTACATTTGTACCCTCTTTTCAACACTGTAAGTGTTAAATGATGTCCATATTTTTATCACCATTTGTCACATTGTATTTTAGAGTTAGTTAGCGTCAAACAGTAAAAAATGTTTATTGGCATTATATAAACCGTTAATCATCATTTGGGATACCCCTATCATATCCGCAGTTACATGGTCATCTGACAGTAATTCACAACCCCTCTCCTCATTCAGAAGAAAAATTGAAAACAACAACAAACAACACTAAAAGCATTTAAGCACCACAAATGCTCTTATATTATAATTCCCTGAGTGAATCCCATCCACCTTAAAAAAAAAAAGAGGCTCCAAGGAGCCTGAATCCCTCCCCTGGATTTAATTTGCCCAAATAGCAGAAGTAGGCTTTTCATCAGAACCAAAGCAATAACATATGGTAAGCAACGTCGAAAGAACATTAATGATTTTTGTATGTTTTTTTTATTTTGATTCATCTGCAGACATAACATAGTGTTTAAAAGTAAACATTGACCTGAACTTTATGGCATTTTCGATTTTTTGAAAGTTTCATAGAAGATCTTTGAAACAGTTTATGATAAACGAGGACAGACTCCAAGTAATAGCATTATAATTATCATCTTAATTTGTGTGTATCATATCAAAACCATTTAACAGACGAAAACTTCATAACATAAGGTATCTTTATACAAGGTATGAAGCATCTAGGTCTTGTTCCTTCTGAAGTATAAAGCTTTATACAAATAGTTTAAGCTGTCTCCACCGGATTGTAATACCTTTGTATCGCATTCTCAACTTTCGTCCCAGGTGAGACAAAAATCAAAATTATGAATGTGAGTGAATAATCCTGCCAATTTGGATTCATTTGGTTCAGTAAATTTAGAGCAAATGACCAAATGCATCATCGCTGATGTGGAAAATCTGTGATAACAGCCATTATGAATTTCAGGTTCCCACCATAGCAGCCATATTGAAAACTAGAGTGCACATGCTGAATGTCTAGCCTGTTTTACTTATCATTGAATCTTAGGGAGCTACCATTTGATATTTATGGGGGGGATGGTGGCTAGGATGAAAAATTTTGTCCAGCATTTTTTTTTAAGCTGTAATCTCTGTCCTGCCTTTTTATTTTTCACTCTATTCGGTCCTGCCTTTTTTTTTTTTTAGTTTATCCTGACTTTATTTACCTAGATTGTCATCCTGACTTTTTTTTTGCAAGTGTCTCATCCTGCCTTTTTTTTACTCAAAACTCCTGTCCTGCCTATTTTTTCAAATTTCATTCTAGCCCCCTCCCCCCCCCCCCCCCCCCATAAAAACCAAATGGTAGCTCCCTTATGTTGAGTCTGTAATATGAAGGTTTTACTACAAGTATCACATAATCTTACAAATTATGAAAATGAGGTCACGGTCAGATGAACCATGCCAGACAGACATGTTCACCTTACAATCATTCCATACACCAAATATAGTGGTCCTATCGCTAATAGTATCTGATTAACTGAAAAACAGATCAAACAACAAAATCTTAACATTGACCAATGAACCATGAAAATGAGGTCACGGTCATATGAACCCTGCCAGACAGACATGTATAACTTACAATTATTCCATACACCAGTTATAATTACAAAAACTTATCATTGACCAATGAACCATGAAAATAAGGTCAAGGTCATATGAACCCTGCCAGACAGACATGTATATTCCATACACCAGTTATAATTACGAAAACTTATCATTGACCAATGAACCATGAAAATAAGGTCAAGGTCATATGAACCCTGCCAGACAGACATGTATACCATACAATAGTTCCATACACTAAATATAATTGACCTATTGCTTATAATATTTGAGAAATAGACCTAACTACAAAAACTAAACATTGTCCAATGAACCATGAAAATGAGGTCACAGTCATATGAACCCTGCCAGACAGACATGTATAACTTACAATTATTCCATACACCACTTATAATTACGAAAACTTATCACTGACCAATGAACCATGAAAATAAGGTCAAGGTCATATGAACCCTGCCAGACAGACATGTATACCATACAATAGTTCCATACACCAAATATAATTGACCTATTGCTTATAATATTTGAGAAAAAGACCAAACTACAAAAACTGAACATTGTCCAATGAACCATAAAAATGAGGTAAAGGTCAGATGAAACCTGCCAGACAGTCATGTACACCTTACAAGCATTCCATACACCAAATTAAGTGGACCTATTGCTTACAGTATCTTGAGATATACCCAAACAACAAAAACTAAACATTGTCCAATGAACAATGAAATTGAGGTCAAGGTCAGATGAAACCTGCCAGTGGGACATGTACACCTTTTTTTCAAACAGTCCCTGAAACAATGAAATGAGATCAAGGACAAAAGACATATAAAAGACGAAAACTTCGTAACATAAGGTATTTTTATACAAGGTATGAAGCATCCAGGTCTTGTTCCTTCTGAAGTATAAAGCTTTACACAAATAGTTTAAGCTGTCTCCACCGGATTGTAATACCTATGCATCGCATTCTGCGACTTTCATCGCAGGCGAGACAAAAATCAAAATTATGAATGTGAGTCCTTAAGTGAATAATCCTGCCAATTTGGATTTGTTCGGTCCAGTAAATTTAGAGCAAATGATGATCGCTGATGTGGAAAATCTGTGATAACAGCCATTATGAATTTCAGGTTTGCACCAAAATCAAAGATTTTATGCAGGACCAAAACCCTAATATATATATGTATTACAAAATTTGAAATAGTTTTCAAAATATAACTAAAGGATGTTTTTACAATTCTGATTAAAGTCATATGAAACGAGTTTCTTGTAATAATAATGTTATCGAAATTATTGAACCAATGCCTGCATATATACTAGTCCTGTATGCATGTATTTTACATTTATTACGAATCTGTAGCACATTATAGACAAGTAAATTTTTATTCAGTGCTTGTTGATCGTGCTAACTAACTTTTAAAGTTTGTTGCCAAAGTTTACCAGATTGTGACATTGATAAACAATCAACACAGAGCATGTGAAAAATAAGTGATCTGATAGAGCAATAATAATTTTTTTTTGTATTTTCCATGTCTTCCCATTTGTTAATTAAACTTAAACTGTAAAAAAATTATATATACAAAAATTAATGATAACTCAAATGAACTGGTTGCCATGGAACCTTAGCCTGATAACCAAACACACCTGATAACCAAACACACCTGATAACCAAACACACCTGATAAATGAAATACATTTAGCTCATTTACAGTTAACTTGTACTTTTATTCATAAAATATAATTCAGACAAATTTATGTTCAAATAAGTATATATTATCTGATTTTCTACTTGTGAATATTGTCAAATATCAACATAAAGCTAAAATATGAGTTTTAATAGCAAGTTAGCACAGCATACAAAGCTAAAAATCTCCATATTTGTTCAAGTGGGAAATATTTGATTATATCATTATTAGAAATTCAGATAACAAATCTATTGTATTGTTATCTAGCACTATTCTTGCTCATTGTGATGTTTTTATGTTTGACATGCTAACCATGAGTGAATGAAGTAAATTTAAGTCAAAGGTTAATAATTTGGGGTGGATTTAATGTAACGAATCCCCTTTCGTGTGTTATTTTCTTTGTGGTCTTAAAGCTAATGGAAATCATGTTCCCCCTGTTCCTTTCAAAATTTTCTGTTGAAATTTGATTAAATTAGTCTTTGTCATGTCAAACCTTTTCAACATTATGCTACTTTAATGTTGCCACTTTCACATAGCTGAGCGTGGTGAAAAATGAATGAAAATACAATAAATTTTCTATACTTTTACATTGTTTAAAATATTTAACTCATTAACATCACATTCATTTCTTCAAATAACTTTGGGATTGGCAGAATTCTTCCCAGGTGTCACAAGTTGTATGATTATGTATGAAAAGTGAAGATAAAATGTATATATATACAGATGATAAGATGTTTAACATAAAATATTGTTCAATTTATTTTGAACATTATGATGTGATTTTAATCTTAAAAAAAGAAATTGTGGAATTTTTTTTAGAACATTTTGACAGAAATCATAATCTGGGGATTTTTTACATTAAATCTTACGAGTAAGTACTCTTAAGTCATGAACATTTCAGTATAACTTATGATCAATTCTTATTGTAAGTTTTTTTGTGAAATGAGTCACAGTTCTAATCTAGACATAGTTAGATAATGCTTATTTCAACAGAGAGATAAATACAAGTACAGACATCTTGATTCTAATTCAAACCTTTAATTTAAAAACAAAATAATACTCCCAACTAAAAATTAACAAATGGTTTAAAATGAAAAGAAGTAATAATATACAATTACTGTCTTTTGATGAGGTAAATATGTGGTTTTATAGACTTTTGAAAAACTGATATTCACTGATGCCATCGGCCAAAGTGATTATCACTGAGTTATTCAAAAGTCAATTAAACCACATATTTATCGAAACAAAAGACAATTGTTTTATTCCATATTCTGAGAAAGAGAAATGTATTTAATGACTATCATTTACTGAAACCAATTGTAAGTCAAACAATTTACCGTTATTACACAGTCAAAAGCATGTGATGTTTAGCACAGTGAATATGCTAAGCTGTTTTATTCAAAATCCAATACGTATAGAAAACCCTACTAATATAATACCAATGTGGGATACCACCTTTTACACACTTTTCACAAAGATTAAAAAAAATCCATTTGTACTTGGTTAAATATGGAATGCAGATTTAACCATTGCTGAATATTTTCAGTTAACAAAATTGTTTTTGATAATTATTCACTTTAAGTATGTTATATTTTTTTGGAATGCCTAACTGAATTGTGTAGTGGGCCTTATGTAGCTCAACCTTGAGTTAATGGAGAAGAGGGCTCTATGTCAATGAGACAGCAAACCAACAACACAAACAACCAAACATTTTGTAGGGAACAACAAATAGATTCCAACCATAATCAAAGGTCTACACAAAAATGTCCAATCTCTCAATCCTTCAAGGTTTAAAAAAAATGAACAAAGATCTCCCATCAACACCTAATCCTCTAAATAACAAAAAGCATTAGGAAATGATATAAGACAATTACTGAAGAGGTTCCTGATGATGTACTTTTAAACCATGTTTCAATGGTAAATCTAACATACATTTATTTATATACACCAATTTGTAACGTGTTGAGTGGAAATGACCTCTCTACATTCAACATGTTGACTGAAGACAACAGAGTCATTTCAATGCTGTTTCTAATGTTTGTCAACAAAAATAAGCAACAAGGCTTAAACTTAAGCTAGAATTTCTAGCTGTACATGTGTATGGCAATAACTAGAGAACTTAAATCTGCCATCTACACTGAATCCTTGGTTCTTATTTTTGTCTGTATTATCTGTCCATAACCACCCCGACCTTCATCAAAATCTGTCCTGTATTCATCTCGAACCTGAAGTGTAAAGTTACATACATACAACAGTCTGGAATTCATTTTCCTAACCTCTTTTGAATGGTACAACACCATACCTTCCATGCAACATGACTTACCAACACACTCTTTGCAGATATATATGTCTTTAAAATAAAAGCACTTCTTATCACATGAATTTGTGTCCAAAGTCAAATCCCCATATATTGAATGTAATTATTTCTGATCTATGAAGCACATATATTTTAGGGTTGGACTTTCAAACGGTCTAATGTGTAATGTAAAACCAGTCTATGTGGTTCAAATGACCAACAGTAAATTAAACAAAAGAGCTTCAAAGCTCTGTATTACAATCTTTAGATGTATAGAATATAAAAATATAAGGGAAAGAATAACTTCCACATAAAGATTCATTTAAAATATATATTTGCAGTCTTCATTATAAAAAAAAAAAAAAAAAAACTGTTAAAGAGATATGTCTCGCCTTTTTGTATTTTTGATAATGCAAATGTTGAAATCCAAATAGCAATACTTTAACATATAAGTTATGCAAATATTCAAAGTCAATGAACCATGACTGAAGGTACATGGCAAAACAATCTCCATGGAAATGAGATGTGCCAATGCTAATACAACTGCATACCAAATACCATAGACTTATCATAAGGCATTCCCTTTGAACAAACCTAAACACAAACATTGACTTGTAAAGTATGTAAAAGTTTCAAAGTCAATGAACCATGATGAGGGAGTTGGGCTATATAATTTCCATGGAAACGAGACTTTCAAATTCCAATGAATTTGCATACCAAATATCATTGACTTAACATTAGCGGTTCATCTTAAACTGATCTAATCACAAACTAATACATGTAAACTAAGCAAAAGTTTCAAAGTCAATAGACCATGACTGAGCGTGAGGGGGCAGGGCCAAATAATCTCCATGGAAATGAGATATGCTAATGCATACAATTGCATACCAATTAACATTGGCCTACTACTAATGGTTCCCCTTGAACTGACCTAATCACAAACTAATACATGTAAACTAAGCAAAAGTTTCAAAGTCAATAGACCATGACTGTGGGGGCGGGACCAAATATTCCCCATGGAAATGAGATATGCCAATGCTTATACAACTGCATACCAAATATCATTGACTTAACACTAGTGGTTCCCCTTGAACTGACCTAATCACAAACTAATACATGTAAACTAAGCAAAAGTTTTAAAGTCAATAGACTATGACAGAGGGGGCAGAGCCAAATAATCTCCATGGAAATGAGATATGCCAATGCTTATACAACTGCATACCAAATATCATTGACTTACCACTAGTGGTTCCCCATAAACTGACCTAATCACAAACTAATACATGTAAACTAAGCAAAAGTTTCAAAGTCAATAGACCATGACTGAGCGTGAGGGGGCAGGGCCAAATAATCTCTATTGAATTGAGATGTGCCAGTGCTAATACAACTGCATACCAAATATCATTGACTAATCACTAGGGGTTCACCTTAAACTAGACCTAATCACAAACTAATACATTGTTGACGCCGTTGCCACCGGAAACAGCATAACTATGTCTCGCTTTTTGACAAAAATGAAATCCAACCATTTTACCTAAATTATTGTTTAAATATGTACTATTTTAATTAGTTCTCAGAATTCATTTTTTCATAAAAAATACTCTAAAAATTCCCAGCAAATCACATCATAGAAAGATTCCCTTGAAGTTAATCTTTGCTTATACAGAGAACAAGCTTATTTTGCTATATAGTACAGCACCTTAGAGACAATCAGGTATGACTTTTCTGTACTGATAAAGTAAAATTGACAGTGAAGTTAAAGAAATTATCTATTCAGACTTTTTCTAGTTTGCAACTTATTTGATCAAGTGTATGATGGAAAAAATCTTTATACTGTCCCACATAAACAGTCTTTCAGTGCTAGACATATAGTTACTTAAAATCTACTGATCACACTCTACATTTTGTACAATGCATTATACATATGTATAAATATATAAATTAATAATTATTTATAACAATGTTTAATAAACAAACCTGTCCACCACTTTTACCACGTCCATACTGCCTGCCTTCTTTAAATCCTGCATCCCAATCTGTTCTCACAATTCTGTCATCTAATCGTGTTCCATTTATATATTTGATGGCATTCTCTGAATCTTCCCTGGTATAATATCTTATATGGTTAAGGAAACATATCATCAATACAAACCATAAGAAAAACTTTGTTGAAAACATTTATTTTACAATAACTTTAGACTGACAAACTTCACTATGGGCAGCTTCAAGAGACAAACTTCACTATGGAGCAGCTACAAGAGATAAACTTCACTATGGGCAGCAACAAAAGACAAACTTCACTATGGGTGCCTACAAGAGACAAACTTTACTATTGGAAGCTACAAGAGACAAACTTCTCTATGGGCCATCTACAAGAGACAAACTTCACTATGGGCCATCTACAAGAGACAAACTTCACTATGGGCCATCTACATAAGACAAACTTCACTATGGGCCATCTACAAGAGACAAACTTCACTATTGGAAGCTACAAGAGACAAACTTCACTATGGGCCATCTACAAGAGACAAACTTCACTATGGGCCATCTACAAGAGACAAACTTCACTATGGGCCATCTACAAGAGACAAACTTCACTATTGGAAGCTACAAGAGACAAACTTCACTATTGGCCATCTACAAGAGACAAACTTCACTATTGGAAGCTACAAGACACAAACTTAACTATGGGCCATCTACAAGAGACAAACTTCACCATGGGCCATATACAAGAGACAAACTTCACTATGGGCCATCTACAAGAGACAAACTTCACTATGGGCCATCTATAAGAGACAAACTTCTCTATGGGCAGCTACAAGAGACAAACTTCACTATGGGCCATCTATAAGAGACAAACTTCACTATGGGCAGCTACAAGAGACAAACTTCACTATGGGCCATCTACAAGAGACAAACTTCACTATGGGCAGCTACAAGAGACAAACTTCATTATGGGCCATCTACAAGAGACAAACTTCACAATGGGGCACCTACAAGAGACAAACTTCACTGTGGGCAGTTACAAGAGACAAACTTCAATATGGGGCAGCTACAAGATACAAACTTCACTATGGACAGATAAAAGAGACAAATATCTTTATGGGTAGACACAAGAGACAAACTTAACTATGGGGCAGCTACAAGAAACAAACATCACTATGGGCAACAACAAGAGACAAACTTCACTATGGCCAGCTACAAGAGACAAACTTCACTACGGGCAGTTACAAAAGACAAACTTCACTTTGGGCAGCTGCAAGAGACAAACTTCACTATGGCCAGCTACAAGAGACAAACTTCTCTATGGGCAGCTACAAGAAATTCCACAAACTGTTTTCATTTATTATCACGAGTTCCAAATTTTTAGCATAGAGAAAATTGTATCTGTGAAATCCTAAAAATTTGGTTCACATATAACCATGATAACCCCAAGAAATAGTAGATTAACCAAATGCTTACTGACCTTTATAGGTGAGCTGAAACTACTTAAGAACAGTCATATCTGCTAAGGGTGCTAAAAAGGAAACAGAAAACTGACATTTTTATGTAATTGTCTAAGTCAAAAGTAAGTCAACAGTTACAAAGATACATGTTTATCAAATAGATGTTATTACTAACTCTACATTACACAATTAAAACCAAAATATCAGCACAATATCCCTAAGAGGACTAAAAAAACTTATTTTCATAATTTATAAATAAAGCACATACATGGCATACAATATTGTACAGTTGTACTAGATATAAAATTTGAGTTCTGAGTCATGCATGAAATTTCCAATTTTTAAAATGATATAATTTGTAAAGGATACTCTACAAAACAAAATCCACATGGTGTCTTTCTGACTTTATCAAGCCCCATGATAATTCTTTTGATGTCTCCACATTTTGAGAAGAGTTCATGGATCTGTTCTTCCGTTGTATAAAAAGACAGGTTACCAACATATAATGTTGTGCTCAACAATAAGAGGCGTTCTTGGTCTGTTCTGTTTCCCTAAAATTCATGTGACAAACAAAATTTCATTAAATAAATTCATTTTACATGTTGTAAGTTTTCAACCTCAGTATGCATGTAATAACAAACAAAATATAGGTCAAAATATAATCTTGTTTAATCATGTTAATTATCAGTAAGCAGGAGTGAAGACTTATCTAGGTTGGGGACCAGAGGAAGATCCTCATAAATGGGTATCATATCCCCAAAACAAATATCAATTTTCAGTGAAAAAAAAAAAAAACTTTGGATTTCAAGATATTTGCTGTCCTTGCGAAAACATTCGGGTATAAATGACAACACATTGCCAAATGACTGAAATATCATCTACGTCTAGTTAAAAGTTAATTGCCGTGAAAAGTAGGATTTATGGAGGCCAATATCTTTGTATCAAGTTGTCATTTGAACTATGGTCTCAAAGGGAAAAATGTTGCCATTTATATGAATATTTGTACCATGATAGCCATAAGTATGATGAAATACATAATTTGATTTTTTATGTATGTAAATCGGTACCTGATTTTGGGTATAAATTGTGTACAGGATCCTTAGGATTTGTACTGATGGCAGATGCCATCCTAAAAAAATTTGGAGCATTATTTCATTGATTGTTTTCACTACACAATTGAATGAATGAACATTCCATAGTAAATGTGTATCTAATGTTTATAGTAACACTTTCGGCATTAGAAATTGTTTAAACCGAATTATAACCGTCTGTGATATAATATGTGAATAATATATTCTATGTTATATTGAACTATTATAAATGTTTATAATTTTGTTATTTCAAAGTTTATATTCTCTGGTAATAAACCATCTGAAATCTAGGAAGTCTCCTATTTTATTTATACTCAAAGAGACTCCTTTCACAAGAAGAATTTTGCTCTCCGATTACATTCGGCACCCAACAATAAACATGATAAAAACCCACAGTTAGAAAAACTAGATATCATTAAGATGGGAGCCATTTCTGTGGGCCCCGCTGTGAATAATGTGTGGTAAAAAATTTGTATCTTTATCATTGGACATGCATGGGGTTGTCAACTAAAACCAAAGTTTTTGACCTCGACCTTTGACCTAGGAAGTTGTACATACATTATGACACACCCTCTGGTGTTGGTTAATATACATTTCAAGTATAAACTTTGAAATCATAACGGTTCTCAAGATATAGAGCGGACATGATCTTTACCATAGGACATGGGGTTGTCAACTAAAACCAAATTTTTTGACCTTGACCTTTGACCTAGGAAGTTGTACATACATTATGAAACACCCTCTGGTGTTGGTTAATATACATGTCAAGTATAAACTTTGAAATCATAACGGTTCTCTAGATATAGAGCGGACACAATTTGTTAAGGACGGATGGATGGACGGACGGACGGACTGACAGATGGATGGACAGACTGATCACTATAGGGAGTCCGCCATTGGGCCGGGCCCTAAATATCTAACCAGGGAAGTGTTGAAGATATCATCATTATAGTATAATGACTCTTGAGGTGGGGGAAGTGTGACGGGATTGCTTCCCTTAGTATATGTTGTAGATACATGTACTTAGCCAGCAGTAAGCGGTTGAGCTAGGGAAGTATTCTTTAGCTCAGTCTGTTAAAGTGCTGCCTTATAACACAGAAGTCCCAGGTTCGAGTCCCGGAGTAAACAAAGTGATTTTGTAAGAAGAATCATGCTCTCCGGATACAGTCAGAATAGAAGTACTTTGCAGTGCATGATATTTGTTGGTGAATTGTGGAAGATCTGTTTTTCAATCACATTGACACAGGCACGTGTTTCTATCAGTGGAAAAGTTTACCATCCATCTTTTATGTATGGATAGTCGACTTTCTCATTGATAGAAACAAGAGCCTGAGCGCATTGTCCATGTTAAAGGATGTTTACAACAATGAACATGCATATGATGAAGACGAGAACAAGGACATGTTCAGTTAACCTGTGGAAATTTTTTTATTTCCTGAATTTCTACCTTAAAATGTTGGTCTCTGTAAGAACTTAGTCCAACTGCATGTGAATATTTTCTTTTTAAGGACGTTAAAACTGTCCCTGACATGTTGAACACCGGCGAATAGCGTAGTTTTCTTAACCGGAAGTAATATTTTCTTTGTAAATTTAAAGAAAATCCGGATTGAGTACAGTACTTACAGAAAGACTTGTTTGAAGCTACCAAAACGACACTGGTCAATATTTTCTGATCGCATCATTATAATGGATAAGCATTAATATACCCAGAGTATGATTTCATAAAATATAAAAAAAAAGGCATGTACAAATGTATATATAGGCTCATTTGAAATAACCTGACTACGGAAACTTAAAAATTGGATTTCTTTTGCTTTAGGTTAGGGGTCCAAACCCACATAGAGCTATACTAAACTAAGTATAACCTGAGACTACTATAACACATGTTTTACTATACACAGCCTTGGTATAAGTAATTTTGTAAGATTTTTATTTTATTTGCAAGGTTTGAATTATCTCCCCTTAATCTTGTCCAAAAAATTATATTTACAACCCCTTAAATTCTAAGTTTTGAAAGGTCAAAACATGCCTAAACAGAATTTTTCTGGTTTGCTAATTAATTTTTAGATTAATGTATAAAATTCAATTTTATATTCCCCTTCACTTTGCCAATGGCACTGTGCGGTTAAATAAACAAAAAGTTGTAGAAGTCAACGAGTCGATATCACTTCTAAGACTCCCGGCGTTCATTCCCATCACCAGCGCTTTATTTCCCCTCTTTTTATAGCAGATGAATATTTTGTCTGCAGGGTAATCTGCTATTTACAATGCAACGCAGAATTGACAATGCCTGTGACTAATTCCTCCGCTGAATCAACGCAGTTTCAGTGTCATGTGCCGGGTTAAAATACAATGACAACTGAACAAATTTCGGGGCTATTGATAAAGTAATTGACAGTAGGCTTGCTTTTTTGTTGGTGAGAGAGATTGACTCTGACTCTTTTAATAATTCATATCCATACCAACAATTCAAACGAGAAAACTAACGGCCGGATTTATGTACAAAATAATGAAAGAAAAACAAATTTGATACAGCAACAAACGATAACCATTACATTGAATTACATGCTCCTGACTTGGGACAGGCACATACCAAATGTGGCTGGGCTAAACTAATTTGAAGGCACCATCCTGCCCTAACCTGGGTACCCACTATATTAACCTGAATATATTGTTTACATCTCATCTCCAAACAATTTTTAATGGTGTGGTTTTTGTCGAGCCTGCTACTTTTGTCACAAACTCAAGACATAGCGATCTTTACATTCTGTCGTCGTCGGCGGCAGCGGCGGCGGCGTCCAGAAATATTCACTGTGTGGTTAAAGTTTTTGAAATTTTAATAAAAAGTAAAATCACAAAAATACTGAACTCCAAGGAAAATTCAAAACGGAAAGCCCCTAATCAAATGGCAAAATCATGATAAAACACATCAAACGAATGGACAACAACTGTCATATTCCTGACTTGGTACAGGCATTTTCAAATGTAGAAAATGGTGGATTGAACCTGGTTTTATAGCGCTAAACCTCTCACTTGTACGACAGTCACATCAATTTCCAGATGCATTATACTGACAATGATGCGTGAACAAAATGTCACAAATAGGGTTACAAAAACAACACGGACCCCACCAAAACTTAAACAACCCTGGATTATTACCAAACTAGGACAGAAGCTTGTTTATGATCAGAAGATAGTATCCAAAGGTAAATTTTGTAAAAAAAAATCCTTTTTTTCGTATTTTACTTATAAATGGACTTAGTTTTTCTGCCAGTTAACATTACATTCACTCTGTGGTTAAAGTTTTTAAAATTACAATAACTTTCTTTAACTATCCTGGATTTCTACCAAACTTGGACAGAAGCTTGATTATGATCAAAAGCTAGTATCTAGAAGGAAATTTAAAAAAAATATATTTCCTGTTTTTCCGTATATTACTTATATATGGACTTAGTTTTTCTTCCAGTTAACATTACATACAGTCTGCAGTTAAAGTTCTCAAAAATTTATTATATTTTTAAAGTAGGCAAGACACTGGTCTTAGTAAATATAACTTTTTATCCCTCTGGAATCTCTTGGTTTTTACAGTTTCTTTGAGGGACAATATATATTTTTTCACAAAATTATCCAACTTGTATCTAACAAAAATGCTTTTGACTACACCTTAACATTCAATATTTTCAGTTAATATTTGTGGGTCTAAAACCCTAAAATCCAGGAGCTTCCGGGGGCTTTTTAGTAACTGTGCAAGGCCTTCAAAAATATATAGCTCCCTTCAAGAGTAGAAGAAAATAAGACTTTTTTTACATATATAAGTAAAAATTATCTGAATGTCTTAAGGATATACAGTCTCTTCCTCCAAAATAATTTACCAGTACCAGTAAATAAAATACACTTGTACACGTAATTTGCCCCTGACTGTATTATGACTATATGGTGATAATACCAGCATAGATGCATAGAGTGATAACCCTTCTATTAAGGGATAAAATTATTATATAACATTATAGGTATCAATTATTGCACTTTACTAAAAATTGGGATGCCTAGTTTTCTACTAAAGTGACACAACTTGCAATGCTTGAGCTGTTTTATATGTATATAATAGTGTCTCATAAGTCTTTAAAGGCTGGGTGCTGATCTTTTTTTTTTATGTGATTGTACTTGTAAATATTCACTGTTGTGTAAGATCAATACATGACACTTTAATAAAATAAATTTATCTTATGGCCAAAGACCACAATTAATGATCCCGCTTTTCGTTGTCCACGAATATAGTTCCTTTTAATTAGAGTGTATTTTTTCTTAATTTTTTTTCTTTCCCTTCCTCACTCATTTCTTAGATTTTTTTGGATGGAAATGAAAGAAGAGAGGTGAAATAAACTTTTGGATGTTGTATTTTAACTGATTTTGATATGGAAAGAGTAATTAGGCCAGGTGCAAAAAGGTGATATTTACAGTTTTCGGAACATCTCTTGACTTGTCCATAGGGGTATGGATGTGTATTGGCTAAATTTGTAAGATGCTGGGGAGCGATATTTCTGAATGTTTGATATATGTTTGGACTAGTACTGTACTTTACACACACAAAATATTTGACAAAAAGAACCGGAGCATTTTTTTTAATGAAACAAAACGTTATAAAGAACTAATAGAGAATTTAATTGTGGTCTGTGGCCTAAGAGGTGAAATTCAGGAAATATTGAATTTGTACTTTGACAACTTCCCTGAATGATCTATTGGTATTAATTTGTCAAACTACATGAGAATAAATGATTTCCACTTTTATTTGATAGAAATTTTGTAAAAAAGTGACATTTCAGCCTACATGCCCAAAATTGAACTTTTTCAGTTGTTTCAATATTTTTACAAAAGTAGCATGCTTACTTTCTCTCTCACAGGTTTTTCTGATTTTCTACTTGTGTTTGTGGTACCTAATGTAGATGTTTAACTCATTTTTGAACACTAAACATACAAAAAAAGTAGATAAAATCAGAATAAGAGTGCAAAATGTGCTGCTTTAATGGTCCTAGTCTAACGGTCAGTATGAAGCAAGTGAAAAATGAGGTTCTATGCACATACAAGTTGAATTCCTTTTAGCAGATTTCACTGAAACTGTATCAAAAGCACTTATTACTGGTTGTTTGACCTTGTCTGTTTCACAGACTACCTTTATTTTCTTTTGTTTGATAGCTAGTGGTTAAAATATTGGCCTTTTGAGGCTGAAATTTCATGCCGGTTTTAAAAAGTAAAGTAAATAACTTTGCATTAGATCATACTGTCTACATATATAGTTGAAAGTGACAGTCTTGTTACATCCAGGCTCCATGTTTTATCATATCTGAGCAAAGATTTGAGCAAAAAGAAGCATATCTTCATCTCCCATATCATTTATATGCTTTTTAATATGCAAAGGTGGGGAACGACCTAAATTGACAACCTGTTTTTTTAAGCTTGACATTGCTGAAGACCATTTTATTCACATGTGTTATGCTATTTGAAACTTATATTTCCATTAAAAGTACATTTATAACATGTAAAAGGTTTTTTTATAACTTAGCAACTTCAGAAAATTGTGGTAAGTGAAAAATATTACATTTCATATAAGGCCTCACTTCATTTGAAAACCTCTATTTTTTGGCACAGGCCCATATGAAATTTACTTCTGGCCATTTTTTTTAAGTCTGAAACATGAAGTATGCTATCTGTTGCTTTTAATAGGTAATAACTTATACATAGAGACATTAAAAAGTGTAAGTTTTGGTATATTTTGGTTTTTAGAAGCCCAAATTTGATAGTTGAAATTATTCTAATTCAACGCCACAATTCAGCACCCAAAGTTCAGATATAAAAAATGCCACAATTTTTATAATTGGTATCATATGGCTTTGAAACTTTGTAAACTGTTTCATAATACACTAAGCTTAAATCATACCAAGTTTTATTAGAATTGGTCAAGGTTTAGACCCCTAATAGGCCAAAGACCACAATTAATGATCCCGCTTTTCGTTGTCCACGAATATAGTTCCTTTTAATTAGAGTGTATTTTTTCTTAATTTTTTTTCTTTCCCTTCCTCACTCATTTCTTAGATTTTTTTGGATGGAAATGAAAGAAGAGAGGTGAAATAAACTTTTGGATGTTGTATTTTAACTGATTTTGATATGGAAAGAGTAATTAGGCCAGGTGCAAAAAGGTGATATTTACAGTTTTCGGAACATCTCTTGACTTGTCCATAGGGGTATGGATGTGTATTGGCTAAATTTGTAAGATGCTGGGGAGCGATATTTCTGAATGTTTGATATATGTTTGGACTAGTACTGTACTTTACACACACAAAATATTTGACAAAAAGAACCGGAGCATTTTTTTTAATGAAACAAAACGTTATAAAGAACTAATAGAGAATTTAATTGTGGTCTGTGGCCTTATCTTTTTTTTTCAACTTTTGCCACAATAGGGGAGATAACTCAGATAAAGTAACTTTTATAATAGAATGTGTTGTGAATTTACCTATTCTATTATGTAGCAAGAAAACAAATTTGGTGACCCCATTTTTTCTTTTTCTTATCTGAAAGCATATTATTAGAGCTATCTTCTCATATTTTATCTTACAATTCTATGGTGTAATTTTCTTTTTATCACACAAAATTGTGTTTTCCATGCATAATCTATGCAAAATCTGACAATTTTTCACAACTTGTAGCATGAAAAAATGCCTGGTGACCCATACTTTTTATTATATTTTTGAAAAAAGCATAATATAAACTACATTTTCACAAATTATTAAAAAATTCTATGGATATTAATGAAGACCCCCTATTCACCATAAGGAGATCAATTTGTGCCTCAAATATTGCAGGTTACTGCCATAAGTAGAAAATGCCCTTTTGCCATTTTCTGCTTTAAATCCAGTCTAAATAATTTTATCCCTCTATAGAAGTGTAATCAATCGATACAGGTACAAATGTATTATCACTACCGTAGAAAGGCTTGTATAGTTCGCAGTGGTACATAGTCCGCACCCCCTTCTCCCCACGAAATTTTAGGAAAAAAAACTTTTTGTAACTGTTAGAAAAGGTCTAATGAAACTCCGGTAATTTCAAATCCTGTGCGGTCGTTTGCGGTATTTTCTTGGAAAAACCTGTTTTCCATCATCAAACAGAAGCTGAAACTGCTTGTTAATGATTCTAGAACGCTTCATGATTGTTAAAATAAGTTTAATTCACTTAAAAAACAATTTAGAAACTTGTGTATGTTTAAACAGGAAGTTTAAAAAGCACGTGTAAAAGAAGAAATTAACCGGTGAGAGTCGAAATCCGTACATAACAGATATCACTATAATACGACTTTGAAAGCAAAACAGTTCCATCCTTTTGTAAAACAGTCTTTAATATATCTATCACATTAATGTTTGAAGGGTCTTAAGCTAATACAAACCATATTAGTCAGTATGAAACACCAAAACGGAACGAACAATAACCGATTTCGTTTTGTAGTTTACAAATTCTAAGCTGGTTTACGGTTGTCTTTTTCACTATGTTTGTATCGTTTCAATCGAGCAGATACCAGTTTATTTCAACCAATGCATTGAAAAGAAACGAGAAATTTGTAATGAAAGGTTTAGTTTTTATATTTATCAGTATTAATTTGATATTGAATAGAAATAACTTATTAATATGGATGAGTTAAAATTATTAGTTTGAAAAATGATAAGAGCGCCCTCTACAATAGAAATAACAAAGATGGCGGAACGTAAACAAACCACCTCGACCGCGAAATTGAAATTTTTCTCTTATTTCTTGCTTATTGTACTCTATAGTCCGCACCCCGTCTGGAAGGTCCAATTTTGGAGAATAAAACCGCGGACTATACAAGCCTTTCTACGGTATATAGGGGGTTAGGTCCCAACCTGCTAAAGTAAAAGGGTTAAGTTAGTGTGTGCTTAAATTGTTATAGGATTTGTTAGGTCTAGTAATTGGTTAGTTTATATATACGAAATATACCCTGACCAATTCATATATATATATATGGTGTCATATTTCTGCATCCTTCTTACCAGATAATTATCCCCTATTCATGAAAGAAAAATATCATTTTAAGATTTTAATTATAGACCTCAGTATACATGGTATAAGATTCTAACACTAACCTCTGTCACATTCAAGATAGAAAAATAGTCATAGCAGCATAATGGACCTTCTAAAATCACATTGTCTGCTCCAGGACCTCTGTATTCAATGTTGTGTCACTAAAAAAAAAGCAAAAAATATAATTTCAGATATAAACATTTGTATACCATAAAATAAAAGGAGATGCTTGGTATAAACAGCATGATACATGTACAGCATTCCAACAAAACAACAAAACAATAAAAGACTAGAGGTCAACATATTCCTTTCGTCTATGGATAGTTGTGTCATTGGTCATCACACTATGTCTTCTTTTTTTGTATAAAGACACGAAGAAATCATGTGCTAAAAAGAAAGTATTGGTTCCTCTTGTATTACAGAATAGCATAAAACTGGATTAAATAATTTCTCTATTTACACCTGATATGGAGTGATGGAACTGGAAATCGCAATTAAATGTCTTATAGGAAGATCAGAATTCTTCAATGCAAGATATTATAAGATTAAGATTTTTTTTTCTATTTCAAGGTTATTGATTTGTAGAATGTGGTGATTAACTCACAAACTGAATAGAAGGACTTTAATATAAAGTTTGTAAGTAAGTGGCCCAGTTTACACACCAATAACCTCTAAAAAGATATGATTGATCCTCATTATTCTAAACACAAACTTTTTTTATTTTTCATTAACAAGATTTTTCATTAGAAGTCAAATCCACAGTTTACATGTCGAGACTAAGGAGTGAGCCGCCATATTGACTTGCAGAAATCCATAAATGTTTGCTTAATGTAATGCAATTAAATTGAAAATGAAACAACTTCTACCTTAAAAACTCCATTTTAATGAGACTTAATCTGAATTTGAAGTGTACAAGTAACAGAATAACCTCAAGCTTGAGAGTTTTCATTCTTATGACATCATGTTTTGCCATGATGTTAATGGGCCATGCAAGATCATTCATGAAAGTACGGGGAATATTATTTTATTTTTATTTTATACATTTTCCAAGCTCTTGTGCATTTTATTTTGTTGTTATGCATAAGAATAGGAAAAAGAGTTAAATAATTTTTTTTTTCTATTTGATTTTCTTGGAACCCATTGATCCCATGCATATCACATTATGTATCAAATCACACAAGAATAGGTTACAAAAGGCATTTCAGCAACATAATATATGGAAGTGTAAACCAAGGGAAAAAATTCTAACAGGACAAACATATTCAAGTATTTGTAGATTTGCAAATCATATAAGAATTATATGGTTATAATGAAAGGTACATAAAATGTATCAAAATGTATTCATATGTTGGAAAATTATCGATTTTATTAAACATGTCAAAAATGATCATCAATTTTTTCCAGGTATGGATCCTATTTACATTGGATTACTTGTTCTGAGATTTTTACTAGTTTTTATACCACAGTATGGATATATACACCCAGATGAGTTTTTCCAAACAACAGAAGTCATTTCAGGTAAGTTGATTGTCTCCCCTTACTTTACAAACATTATTATTGTTATTAACATTTAGCCTCAAAGTGAAAGACTTAGATTTTAAACCTTATGCAATGTGTAAGAAAGAAACCTTTTCAGCCACAAATATTTACTGATACTCTTAGATAAGATAGCAATAAAAAGTTAAAAAAATAAATAACTTTATATTCGGTAAAAAGCTCTTAAGAGCTTATGTTTGTATTGTTATATGTGAACCGAATCAAAATAAAACTTTCGTATTCGTATTCGTATAAAATTAGAATGTGTTTTCCATGGATTTGATTTCCAATAGTTATCATTGTGAAATATAATTTCTTTTTTTGTGTATCCATGACAAGTACATTTATTTGCCCAAAAATATCGAAAAAGAGGACATGAAAATGTTATATGTGTAACAAAATTTTTAGTGATACCTTTTCTGATACAATTGACTTTTATCTAGCAAAAGTAGAATTAAAAAATCTGGTGCTTTTTGCTTAATTTTTGTTCAAAAATTTATACATAAAAAATTTCATATAAATATAGTTGGAAGTAAACATTATTCATATAATTCATCATCTATTTAATAGGGTCTGGATGAAGGCTCTATTATTACTGTATTCTTTAATTTTTGGGGGCATTTTTGTTTAGCTTTAAAAATTATTCTGTAAAATTCTTATAAAGTTACTTTACTATTAAATTATTCTGTAATTAGACGATTTCTTTATTCTGTATGTCTTCATTTCTGTAATCAGCATTTTATTCCCCTATTTTTTTAAATTTTCCACAGTTATTCTTTATAAATACTTTAGCACCTAATTACTCTATTACTTATTTTTTTTGCTTATTTTTCTCCATTCTTAATTTTTTTTGCTTATTTTTCTCTATTCATTAATTTTTAAAGCCTTTATTCTGTATTCTGTAAACCTTTTTCAGACCCTCATTTAAAAATTAATTTTATTACACAAAAAAGTTATTGGAGCCAAAATGCAAAAAAAACACATGCATTACGGTGTATTGCTACCTAACGGTGCTTTGCTTTTACGCCAAAATAATCTTTCATTTGGGCCACAAACTATATTTCATTTGCGCCAATATAACAGGTAAATACAGGTAAATAGTATAAAGAATAGTTTTAGTAAAAAGGGACTTTTAGTTATTACTTTAAAACTCAGTTTAAACTCAGTATTTGATTGCATAATAAAACATATTCTCCGAAATCAGTCAGCGTAACCAAAATGAAAGCACTATACACTGATACGTTCTTAATAAGAGACTTTTCATAATAAAATTAAAACACAGTTCGGTTATAAATTAACAAGATCATAAAACCTAAAAGAAAGCACTATACATTGGAGTAAAACCAAAAGTTGTTTCTGACACAAGACTTTTAAGCAACGGCTCGGATGTTCTCATTTACACTGGATAACCTATAGCCAATGAGACAACTATCCACCAAAGTTCAAATGAAGTGGATGAAAGCCATTATAAACAAGTCAACCAAACGGCCTTCAAAAACCCATACCGTATTGTCGGCTATAAACAGCCCAACATGAAAAATATGCAACAATCCAATTCTGAGAAAATTAACGGTCTATTTGTCTCAGAATTGACAATGTCCATCTTGACACCTCAAACGTGAACACTATATAATTTAAAATCTAAGTGACTCTCAGTTTTATATTGAAAAATGAGTATGAACTTACTTAGTTACCCAGGGGGAATACTCTTAAAAAAAATCTTATTCATGATGTAGCAATGGATATTTTAAACTTTTCCGTTATATGTTACCTACAAAATGGCAAAAATGTAGTTTTATTTTTTGGCGCAAATGAAAGATTGGATTTTGCAAAAATTGGCGCAAATGCAATGCGCCCCTACCTAAATATTCAAACTTAAATTAAAAGTGTGAATAATTAGTGTTTTATTAAGCAAGATGAACAAATTCTTTTGTGAAGGAAGAAAGATTATTTTGAGATATGCAAGAAATTAGCTACAAGGGGAGATAATTGAGTATACAAAATATAGCAAGGCTTTCTAGAAGTTTCAGCCACAAACCAATTAGCCTCAACCCAGTTCAGCCATAGTTGATTCTGTCACATTATTTAATAGTGTTTGAATAAATCTAGTTTTTTTTTAAAATTTGTATTTTGACAGAAGTTTGTTTAGAAATGGGATTTAATTACAAACAAATAAATATGTCTTAAAATGTACAATTGCAGAGGTAGGTAAGTAAGTGTGACTTTAGTACAAACCCAAGGACACAAGACTGTTCATCATTCTCTGTCAAGTGACTAAAAAGGTCTATTGCCAGTATATTTTTAGTGTATTTTTTATACTTCCATCGTTTGTTTACTTCAGCAAAGCATGCTGATTTTTATTTCCTTATGTTACACCTGGTTATGATAATAATAATATTACCTTTTGACTTTGGTGTTGATTAACAGATTGTTTCATAACAGAATAGAAACTGAACAATAAGTCTTTCATTGACTTGGAAATAAATAAATTCCATTAGCACTTATCAGAATCAAACAATCATCCCCTGACGAACCAAAGTATGAGCAACATTGACACAATAATATTAAGACATCTGTGATGATTTCTTTCTAACAGAATAATATGTTCCAAAACGATTACAGATATTCAGTTTGTTTGAAACCCACTACCAGGACATACATGTAATTTCAAATAAAAACTTCCTCATAGACTCAAAGGCTAAAGCTAAGATAACATTGGGTTTTGTATTTTATTAAGTTATTTAGACATCTTGATAATGATGAATTGTATATATATAACAAACTTTAGCATCCATATGGCATGTAAAAGTTACATGTTGATCAGGTAGAAAATGACTGTATCAATTTGGTAGAACATAGTTTCCATCGAAATCTTGTAGAAAATCACATTTCGTATCTTGCACAATTTTATCAAAACTTGTCAGGAATGATTTATGGAAATTCCTACATAAAATTTCTCATTTCATTTAAATCTTATGAAAAAAAAAGTTGCCAGAAGCAATCTTTTTTTTCCTCTTCTCTTCTGAAACACTACAAGAAAAAATGTTATAAAACTTTAATTGAAAGGCTCTTTACAAAGGATCCTCATGGAATGTTGATTGAGTGGCAAAAATGGCAGCATTGATCATTGAAACTTATGAACCCCTTATACACCCTCAAAAACCAGTTACTGAATTATGGTTTTGTCATATACCTTAAATATAAAAAAGAAGATGTGGTATGATTGCCAATGAGACAACTCTCCACAAGAGACCAAATGACACAGAAATTAACAACTTTAGGTCACCGTACAGCCTTCAACAATGAGCAAAGCCCATACCGCACAGTCAGCTATATAAGGCCCCGAAATGACAATGTAAAACAATTCAAACGAGAAAACTAACGGCCTAATTTATGTACAAATATGAACGAAAAACAAATATGTAACATATAAACAAACGACAACCACTGAATTACAGGCTCCTGACTTGGGACAGGCACATACATACAGAATGTTGCGGGGTTAAACATGTTAGCGGGATCCCAACCCTCCCCTAACCTGGGACAGTGGTGTAACAGTACAACATAAGAAAGAACTATAAAAATCATTTATCTTCAGGAATATATATTGTTTGTGCTGTATCTAGACCCTTCTACCTCTACAAATTTCTTGGTAGAGGGGTCTAAATACAGCACAAAAAACAACTTCCAAAAGACCAAAAAAAGTGAAAAATCTATTTTAACAAAACGCATTTGACTAACAGGTCGAACAACTGATGTTCTTAAACCCTGCTGACTACCATTGGCGATTGCCAAATATATTGATCACCAGATCTAACGAAATGGATCTTAATATTAATTTAATACCAAACAAAAAACAATAAAATTGTGGATGAGATGGTATATATATATATATATATAGTCTAAGAATAGCAACAATCAACATCAACCTATCTTGATTTGGATCAGTTTGAAATGCCAAAGACACTTTAACATGCTATTGAGTGTTATAAAAATAGTTGTTATATTTTATAGATTCACACAATATTTCGCTAGACAAACTAGCTTATTATGTGCGTGAAATGATATCATCTATATATTATACATTTTTGTAAACATAGTTTTCAATTTTTTTTTAGGTGATATATTCAACATTGAAGTAAACAAGCCATGGGAATATACAGTACTTCCAATAAGAAGTGTCTCATTGATATACATCTTTTTTGGGTTGCCACTGAAATTTTTGAAACTTCTTGGAGAATTTGAACCAGCAGTGATTTCTCCATACTGGATTATTGTGATACCTCGTTTAGTAATAGCATCTCTAAGTCTGGTGTTAGATTATACTTTATGCAAACTTTGCAGGTGTTTTGATTTAAATGAGCAGATAGGATTACGATTAATGGCAGCATCTTATGTTATGCTGACATACATGACAAGAACATTTACTAACAGTATTGAGGCAGTACTGTTTGCTGTTTTATTACTCCTGGTGTTTACAGATAGAACTATTAAATTTTACGTCAAATCCAAATTTGAAGAGGAGGAAGAAGAGAAACAGGAAAATCTGCAGCGAGTTTCAATGAAAGATTATCGCTTTAAAATAATAAAACATGCTGAAGCAAAATTACACTACACAAAGTCATTAACAACAACATTTTATGTGAAGGCCACTTTAATTGGTATTGTAGGAATGGCTGGTATGTTTAACAGACCTACATTTGCCATAATGGCATTGTTTCCAGCTTTGATGTATTGTGAGGCTAAACAAGAAAAGATAACTACTCATGCAGTGTTTGTTGGAGCAGGAGCAACAGTTTCATTTATAACACTTACTGCAGTTGATACCCTTTATTTTGGCGAAAATTTCCAGGAGTTATTGAGCCAGTGTGATAAAGAAAAGACTTCAGTGTTGATGTGTTTTTTTACAACGTTTCTTCGATGGGTAGTTATAACACCATATAATTTCCTGTTGTACAATATGAATCCACTTAATTTAGCAGAACATGGTATTCATCCAAGATATCTACATTTCATTGTCAATCTTCCTCTTTTATTTGGACCTCTAACTTTGCTTATTTATAAAAAACTTTTACATCTTTCAGTACTGTTATGGAGACAGGAGAAGTTTCACAAGAGTTACCTCCCATTGGTTATGCTTTTAATACCAGTAATACTGATATCAACATTTCCACATCAGGAACCTAGATTTTTGTTACCCGTTTTACCTCTTGCAGTTATGATTGGAATTGAACAAATTCAGGAAAAATCAAAGCTGAAGACATTATTTGTATGTTTTTGTTTGTTTTTTAATATTATTATGACCCCTATATATGGATTTTTACATCAGGGTGGAGTAATACAAAGTTTATTGCACATTCAAAAGGATCTAAAGTCTGGGACATCTTTGTTTGATATACACGATAAATTTGTTTATCACCGAACATACATGCCACCACATTGCCTTCTGCTAAGCAGAACTTCAAAATCACAAATACTAGATATACAAGGTGGTAATATTCAACATTTCTTGAAAATAGTCCCTCAGAGATTATCTGAAATAAAAGATTTTCCAGAAAACAAAAAATCAAGTAACATTTATGTAGTAACTCCATCAGTTTTTGTAGATGAATTGAGAGAAAATGGTGTAAATTTTACAACTGTAACTGTTATGTTTGGACATTTGACTACTGAAGATCCACCTAATGTAGCAACTATTTCAAATAGTTCCAAGAAACATCAAGACATTATAGAAAGAATAAAAGAGTTTTTAAATCAGATGACATTACATATCATTAGAGTGCCATATGAAGAGTTTTTTGCAGATTAAAAACTTTATACTGAACAATATTATTACTTCAAATTCAGTGGAGATTCACTTGTATTTTTCTTAAAGATATTTTTGTTTTTATTTTCCTATTGTTTTAACAGCAGTCATTTAATTAAAAGATTTAATAAGACTTACAACGCACAGTTACCTTGATATTATTGTATTAAAATATCAAGAAATCTCTTATTATACTGCAGACATTTTTCATAGGAGGGAACTGATTTAAAATAAATCTTATATAAAAAGCCAATACATGTCCTTTACTAGATTTGGATATTTTAGTTTGACAAGGGAACTCTCTACAAGAAAGAGACTATTCTTCATTTTCATTTTTTGGACAGTGATATTCCTTAGGCAACTTCTTAAGTGTGTGTATATTTCCAAACTTGTTCACTATGCCTGTGCTTGTAGTGAGGTTTTAGATTTCGATAAACATTATCCATGTATAACTGGTGAATTATTTAGTCAGGAATTTCTTTACCACAAATTTCTTAAAACCTTTACTAAATTCTTTCATAAAGATTTGGTTTGGAAGTTTGGCTGTACCTGTACAAACCTTATTACAATTGGGATGTCACATCCTAGATTTTACAGGGATATAGTTTATAGAGCCTTTAAATCTAGATATGATCATTGTATAGTTATTGATCTTTGAACAAACTGATTTTTATCAATGTAACACCAGTAAGAATTTTGAATATTGTTTTATCAGTAACAGGTTAGGGTTGAGCTCTCACAAACATGTTTAACCTGCCACAGTGGTGGTGTTGGTTGCTATCTTGTCATCTTTATCAGTAACAGGTAAGGGTTGAGCTCTCACAAACATGTTTAACCTGCCACAGTGGTGTTGTTGGTTGCTATCTTGTCATTTTTATCAGTAACAGGTAAGGGTTGAGCTCTCACAAACATGTTTAACCTGCCACATTGGTGTTGTTGGTTGCTATCTTGTCATTTTTATCAGTAACAGGTAAGGGTTGAGCTCTAACAAACATGTTTAACCTGCCACAGTGGTGTTGTTGGTTGCTATCTTGTCATCTTTATCAGTAACAGATAAGGGTTGAGCTCTCACAAACATGTTTAACCTGCCACAGTGGTTTTGTTGGTTGCTATCTTGTCATCTTTATCAGTAACAGGTTAGGGTTGAGCTCTCACAAACACGTTTAACCTGCCACAGTGGTATTGTTGGTTGCTATCTTGTCATCATTATCAGAAACAGGTTAGGGTTGAGCTCTCACAAACATGTTTAACCTGCCACGATGGTGTTGTTGGTTGCTATCTTGTCATTTTTATCAGTAACACGTTAAGGTTGAGCTCTCACAAACATGTTTAACCTGCCACAGTGGTGTTGTTGGTTGCTGTCTTGTCATCATTATCAGTAACCGGTTAGGGTGGAGCTCTCACACATGTTAAACATGCCACAGTGGTGTTGTTGGTTGCGGTCTTGTCATCTTTATTACAAATTAGCCACAATACAGAGACACTAACTAATGCAACTCTTATTGTTAACATCAAAGACCGTAACGTACCTCGAGTAACATATTGTAACGTCATATCATTATTATGCTATATTGTGTGCATCACATCTCTAGTCAGTATAGTAAACAGTTTGAATATACACTCATTTTTCTATTTATTTAAGTACTACCCAACTAAACCCAAACAATCTGTTTTTCATTCATTTTTCTTGTATAAATCAGGCTTTCAGTTTTATTGTCTGAAGTGTTTCACATTGTCAGGCCTGGGCCTTTTTATTACTTAAAATGAGGTATCAGTTTTGCTCATTGTTAAAGGCTGTAGGGTGACCAATAGTTGCTTACATCCACAACCTTTAGCAGTCTCTGATGGATAGTTGTCTCATTCACACTACCTATTTTCACCAAAATAATCATCATTACAAACAAGAAAATTTCTGAGTTTTTAAAAATGATAAAAAAAAAATAAGCAACTCTTGGTATTGTCCCTAATCTTTTATGCCTTAGTCATTACTTGGCATCCAATGCCACCTTAAACTTTAAAAAAAATCTTCAGAACCAGCAGTCCAATTTCAGCCAAAATTGAACTGAATGATCCTCAAAGGGTATCTAGCATAAAGTTTGATTTTTTTGTTCCTGCAAACCAACCACCTAACATGGCTAAAAATAGAACATAATGGTAAAAAGCATTAATTGTCTACCTTAAAAACCATAAAAGTTAAAAGAGGAGAAAAATCCAACAAGGCAAAAAATACCCAGAATGCTCAGAGATCTAACTTCTTCCTATTTCCATCAAAATTATCAGATGACTCCTTATTAAATCACCAATACCAAATCTACATAGCTGACAACTCCTTATTAGATCACGAATACCATATCTACATAGCTGACGACTCCTTATTAGATCACCAATACCATATCTACATAGCTGACAACTCCTTATTAGATCACCTATACCATATCTACATAGCTGACAATTCCTTATTAGATCACCAACACCATATCTACATAGATGACGACTCCTTATTAGATCACCAATACCATACATGTATCTACATAGCTGATGACTCCTTATTAGATCACAATACCATATCTACATAGCTGATGACTCCTCATTAGATCACCAATACCATATCTACATAGCTGACGACTCCTTATTAGATCACCAATACCATATCTACATAGCTGACGACTCCTTATTAGATCACCAATACCATATCTACATAGCTGATGACTCCTTATTAGATCACAATACCATATCTACATAGCTGATGACTCCTCATTAGATCACCAATACAATATCTACATAGCTGACGATTCCTTATTAGATCACCAATACCATATCTACATAGCTGACGACTCCTTATTAGATCACCAATACCATATCTACATAGATGACAACTCCTTATTAGATCACCAATACCATATCTACATAGCTGATCACTCCTTATTAGATCACAATACCATATCTACATAGCTGATGACTCCTCATTAGATCACCAATACCATATCTACATAGCTGACGATTCCTTATTAGATCACCAATACCATATCTACATAGCTGATGACTCCTCATTAGATCACCAATACCATATCTACATAGCTGATGACTCCTTATTAGATCACCAATACCATATCTACATAGCTGATCACTCCTTATTAGATCACAATACCATATCTACATAGCTGATGACTCCTCATTAGATCACCAATACCATATCTACATAGCTGACGATTCCTTATTAGATCACCAATACCATATCTACATAGCTGATCACTCCTTATTAGATCACAATACCATATCTACATAGCTGATGACTCCTCATTAGATCACCAATACCATATCTACATAGCTGACGATTCCTTATTAGATCACCAATACCATATCTACATAGCTGATGACTCCTCATTAGATCACCAATACCATATCTACATAGCTGATGACTCCTTATTAGATCACCAATACCATATCTACATAGCTGATGACTCCTTATTAGATCACCAATACCATATCTTCATAACTGCCAATATAATAACATTGGAGGACTCCTTACAGAAGTTATTGTTGTTGAATTGGGATTTTGGACTAATTTTCGTGTTTAGTGTGCAGATAATTTGGAAAAAAATAAAAGAAGGGTAGAAACTGTAAACAGCAACAAGAGTGCACATGCTGAAATGTCTCGCCTTTTTACTGACCATTGATTTTATGTTGAAAGTCTTAAAGAAAAAGGTTTTACTACAGGTATCACATAAACTTAACATTTAAAAGATCCATGACAATGATGTCAAAGTCAGAGAAATCCTGCCAGACAGACATGTACACCCTACAATTATACCAAACACCAAATATATAGTTGACCTATTGCTTATGGCAATTGAAAAACAGACCAAAACACAAAATCTTAACATTGACCAATGAACCATCACAATGAGGTCAAGGTCACCTTATACCTGCCAGACAGACATGTACACCTTACAATCATTCTATATACCGAATATAGTTGACCTACCGGTACTGCTTTAAGTATTTGGAAAACAGACCAAAACACAAAATCTTAACCAAGGTCAGGTGAACTCTATCTGACGGACATGTAGACGTTACAAGGAACCTATATACCAAATAAAGTTATCCTTTTACTCATATTAAATGAGAAATTCATGACAAAATTTTTTTTTCCATGCAGTCTCTGAACCATGAAATATGACAAGACGGAAAATTCTTAACACAAGGTATGAAGCATCCATCTACCTTCTGAAATATAAAGCTTTAGTCAATTTTGAAGGGTTATCTATTTGCTGCTATATCGTGCACTTTGAAGCAAGTGATAGTTCTTCACAGGACTTCTACAACTGTAGTCATGAGTTGTAGGGTACCATCCAACATCTTTCTCCTCCAATTAATTTTATCCCAGAAAAGCTGGTACCAATCATTGTCATGCATATTCAAGATTAACACAAACAGAATGAATTGCTCATGAACAAGCAAAGTATGGAAACTTCTTTTCCAAGGTCACAAACCTATATGATGTATATTTAGAATAAACAAAAATATGTTCAAAAATTTATTTTCCAAAAGTAACAAAAATGACTATTTATCTACTTAAACAACTTAGACTAGAAGATTAACAATACTGATATATTTGATTCTGTAATACAATGAAGTGACTTCATTCTTGATATTTATGAAAGTAATTTTATTCTTATTGGTATATGAACCTCAGTTTAACTCTAGTTATGGTGTTAATACCCTTTCTATTTTATTCCCAGCATTTCATCAAGTACTAAACCCCCTGCAACATTTAAAAAAAACATTTGTGTAAAAAATTATAATAAAATTAACATTTCTTCATAAAAAATTATCTTAAAAAGTAAAAAATGTATGACTTTTCTTTTGCATCCCAAACTTGATTTAATCATAAAATGAAATGTTTCCTAATTTAGAATTGAGATACAATGCAATTTATTCTAGAGAAACTTTACCCATGATAAATCATATAGGCTAAACAAATAAAGAGAATTTGTAAAAATATCAATAAAGCACATACATACTTTTTGCATTTGACCCAAAAAGATATAATAGGTTTCCCTGTAAACATTATTTGTTTACGCCTCAAAATGCCAATAATAATGTGTTTTATTGGCACTAATGGATTGTTGATGCTGATAAAATTAGACCTCCCTATATACCCCCCCCAAGTAAAGAAATTCAGTGATTATTTGGCAGAAGTAATATAACATGCTATTGTGGCCTTTCACAAAATCAAATGTAGGGATACACAGTGAATCCACCTGGATATAAAATTATCTTTTGAGTGAGGGGGGTGGGGGGTAGGGATGCATGATCTTATGTTATTTCTTTCAAAATCATTATCAAATGGGCAAATTTACAATGTAACTATATTAATTTCTTCCTATTTCTGCCACTGCTGAGATTTCTAGGAAGTAAAAGGTAATAACAAGGCTTCCAAAATGGTTGTATTGTCCGGACTTGATTGATAAATTATATATTTGACTTGTTGTGCTGAGCTGAATAAATACTATCAAAACAAACCCTACTGTAATACCCTCTCATTACAATGAAGGTGAATAAGCTGAAATTTACCTGTCCAGGCAACAGGTAAACTATTTTGTACCGGACATTGATCGATCTATTTAAAGTTATTTTCTTAAATTTCAGTGGTTTGCATCTAATAAATTTAGTCAAAGAGATTTGAATTATCATAAATACTTATAAAAATATGATTTGACGAAAAATTTGAAAAGGTAGTAATAAAGGTTTTTAAAAGCAAAAATCATCAAAATTACGTTGTTTGAACTAGTACACCTGTGCGCAGGTGTGAGATATAGTTATGCATCCGAATTCTTTAAAAATGTTAAAATCATCATTGATACGTTTGTCTAACGTTCATTTTCAGTATTTTCTTGAAAACGTACACAGATTTAACACAACTGGCTCTGGTCAATGTTTTACCACTGTCAAGTCAACATCCGGTACTAGGAAAATGTACTTTTTAAAAACGAAAGTCAAGTTTTTGACATAGTAATTTTGCACAAATAAAGGGTCTTATGCAGATATTTGTACGCTTATGTTGCACACTTCGAATGATGCAATGTCAATTTAACAGTTTATGCCAGAACATCGAACATAAAAATCGGGATAAGACAAAAATGTCCAGCTGGATCAAATTTTTTTTGGAAGCCCTGGGTAATAAATGATGACTGAATATCAAAGAAGATTCATTTTCCATGTCAGGGCCATATTGATTTAATTTAAAAAAAAAAAAAAGAGACAGGACCATTTTGATCCAAAAACATGCATTCTCCTTTTGCTACCGTTCCTTTATTGTGCCATAGAGAGGAGAATACAACTAATGTAAAATCAACCTAAAGTACATGTATAAAATATCTTGCACTATGTATAAAAAGCACTATAAATCACATCTCTAACTGATGAACAGTTTTAATATGATATATGAACTGTCACCTTTTTCATAGCACCTTAAAAAAATTGCATTCAAATCCCATAAAATAAATCAAGTTTCCACAATTGTTACCTAAAGTAACAAATATGTAAACAAACAAATTAACATTACAAAATGTCCAATCTTCTTATGAATGGCATCTGATGATGATCCCTGTTATCCAATATGCATAAGACACGAAGAGTCAATCCCTGCTCAGGTCTATTTTTTACATATCCATTAAAGCTTTTATATCTTGTATCCTGTTTGTCCTTTTTTCCTCTGCAGTTTGTTTCTTGCCAAAAGCCCCCTGCATCAATTTCCTCTTTTTGTCCTGTAAATCCATCATTCTGCCTTCTACGGAGTCATCAACAACAAACTATAATGATATTTAATATTTAAAAGCATATGTCATCAGAGATTCAAATTTTCAGGGTAATGGAAAAATTAAGTTTTCTCTTTCATAATTACAATTTTTGAATATACAAGTCTAATGAAAATATGCATTTTTTTTTGGTTGTCAAAATTTCACTGTTTTAATGAACAATGAGTTATGAATTCTGCTATACCAGTAATTTACTTTTAACAATATTAACATATTCTCCAAAATATAACTTTTCATAGAACTAAATATTAACAAATGTAAACTAGAGGTACTGCTAAGCTCATAAGATGATATCCCCTTCCCCTGTACTCATTTTTAATGACAACCCCCTGCCCCTTTTATTCATCTTTATTGACAACCCCCGGCCCCTTGAACTTTCATACAGGAATTACTTTCACTGCAAAGAACATCTGGAAATAACTCCTATTTATAACACATTCCAGCGAATTCTAAACAACTTGATATCAGCCTACCTTTGTTATTGTTACATTCCTGGTTTGGCCAAGTCTGTGACATCTATCAAAGCACTGCTCCTCTGTAGCTGGATTCCAGGCCTAGAAAAAAACAGATTACATCATATATAATTTTTATGAAACATATAACCAATTTTAGACAAAACTTGTGCGATATCTTTATCAAACTTTTAATTTGTGTAGGAACCTATTGAACATAGGAATGATTTATATAGGCATCCTTATTGGCCTTCTTGTGCCTTTAATATTGCTCTGCTTGGCTCTTCATAAAATTGCATGTCACAGTTTTTTGACATAAAATATGCTTGACAGGGCCTTAATCAAAGATGTCATAATGTTTGACTCTTAACATATCAAGTTATCTTCCAGTTTGCCCGGTGCATTACATTTGCACGCAAAAATCATTACATTTTACAGGTAAACTCAGGCAAATACAGGTAGAATATATTTATTTTTTTTACTATTATTTATTTATTTAACTATTTACAAGTCTGTCCCTTGTTCACCAACCAGAAGGAAAGGGGGTTTCTAGAAGGATAAGTTTGTTTTTTTATGCACAAGCACCAAGTCCTGGAAATATATACCGATCATATTATTGTATTATCGGAATTTCTCCATCAGATACTCAGTTTTTGATTCTTTCTCACTTCTACCAACAACTGCTGGTGTCTCAAGCCCTCTCAGTTTGATATGTGTGGTAGTTTTGAACTTTTAAAATAATGTCAAGATACACAAAATACATGAAGAATTAATCTGAAAAATATATAATTTGAAATTATAAATATGTTCAAAATTAATTGATGTATTTATCATAAATTATCTTTATATTTACGTGTGTTACCTGTAAAATAAATGCATGCAAATGTAAACAAAACCTGCACACAAACGTAAAAAAAACTAATTAATCCCCAAATGCACGCAAATGTAATGCGCCCAGTTTGCCGACCCAAAATCAATAGGCTACTTTCCCTTTCTTTAACCTTTATAGTAGGGGCGCAATTGGTGATTAAGAATTTGGTTGTAATTTCTACCCCTGCTATCATGTATGAAAGCTTTCTGTTAAACAATCTCAAAAGTTGCATTCACATAGCGTCATTGTGTAAAAGTCCCAAAGTTGCACTTTTTCAAAGCATACAATAGCCTAGCAAACGAGTAACATGTGTTTAAATTTTGTTCCACAAAATTCCAAATATTGTCTATTGTAAGTAAAATATTTATCATATTGATATTGTAAATATCAACTAAACACATTATTTTGAAAAATGAAAAAAAGTTCAAAGTCATTAAAGAGGTAAACCCTAAAATTCTAGTAGAAAATAAAATGAACGAATGCAAATGTAACACTACAAAAAAAGCAATGGATTATTAAATTATTCTTTACAATCATTTTTTGTCTCGGTTTTTCTGACAAGATGTTTTTATTTGTTTGTTTTGGTCATGGTAATTTCTGTAAGCTTTTTTGCATACTATTGATATATTGGATTTCGAAGAATAATACTGTTTTAACTTAAAATTCTGCATGTCATACATTTAATCAGTTAGATTATGTCCCACTTATTGAAAACCATCCTCCATTTTACATTATAACTACTTTTTTATTATAAATAACAGAAATCTTACAGGATCCATAAGGAATACTCTGGAAGCTGCTATCAAGTTGATCCCAACTCCACCAGCTTTTAAAGATAGCAACATAATGGTAGGTGTGCCAAAACTGCTGTTACTGAATTGGGCTATAGCTGTCTGTCTCTGCTTCAAACTCATTGTTCCATCTAACCTCACAAAGTTAAATCCATGCATACTACAATAAGTAATATCACTGTTAATGTTCATCTGTTCAGAAATGGATTGTTGGCTTGCTTTCAAATATTTCTACCATTTAAGATTTCTGTTACCCAGCTTGCCCTTATAGGCATTTTCCCAACATTTTTAAATGCATGCATGATAAATCATCGAACTTTCCCTTTAAAACTTCTTTGGACTATGCAATGATCAATGCTCTGCCACAAATATTTTATTCATGCTGAGAGCATGAACAAGGTCAGCAATAGACAACTTGTCCAAAAATGGAGTTTGTGTGTAATAACATGGGCAAAAACTTTCAACATCAATTGGAATTAGAATGTATTGTGTCCAGTAAAATAATATGCCCTTCCTTGCAGCATTTATCTATCATTAATACAAAATTAAATACTTTCTGACACGATAATCACTGAAACTTGACATTAAGGTACTGTTACAATTTTAACAAATATCATGGAATATGGACATCAGCTATCCTGGCATACTCTTGATGAAATTTCATCCTGATACAACACCTACTACACAAATTATTTTAAAGTAAAAACAAGTGAAAAGCTGACACTGCCACTTGATGCTCCCTGAACTGCATATTGATAGAAAACAATTTTTTTATTTCAAGGTTTCAAAACACCTTTTATATAATAATTCAGAAATTATGCATGCATTTCTTACTGCTATTATTTAACAATGGCCACACATGTTAGATTTATTATTGTGATATCAGATAATGCTGCATGCAACTAACTGTTTGAAATTTTTTTTTTAGGAAATCTGTTACACTCAGAATTTTCTCAATAATAAAAACATTGCAACATTTTTAAATTTACAGTACTAGTATGTTTAGAGAGACAAAAGAAGAAAATGTTCACCTGTATAAAAGGTAAACAAAATCTATTTTTAGTAAAAGTGACCTTTATCTTGGACCCATGGTGCCAAAAATTATTCCTCCCCCTCTCTTTAAATTCCATCTGTACAAGTTTCATTCCAATCATTCAAATGGAACTACAAGTAACCATCTGGAAACCATTTTTTCCAAATTTTTCAATTTTTAGAAACTTGATTGGCTTTATGCCACCTAAGCAAACAGGTTTTTATCGAGGCCATTGAAACAATGACTTTGACCCCAACTTTCTTTGTAATTTCTTTCCCTGCTACCAAGAACGAAAGCTTTGTGTTAAATGGTCTCAGGAGTTGAATTCAAAGTCAAGGTGTCATTGTGTAACAATAGTGAAAACAATAATCAAAGTCAAATGATTCCTGCAAAATTTACTCAATATGACAGTACATTATAATCAAGAAAATGACGACAAATAATCCTACAAAGTGTGAAAGCTTTTGAATAAAAGAATAGAGTTTCAGTGTCCCCCGTGTTGCACATATTTTATCTGTCCAAGGGCAAAAACTAATAAATGTTTTTTGGTTCTTTTAACTTTTTATTAATTTCTTAAAGAAATGTTAGGTTAGGAATTTTATAATAATAATAAATATAATAATGTTTATCATGTTTACTCAGGTAAAGGCAATATATACAAATACATAATAAGATTTAGAATATATAATTAATATTTCCAAGGTGCATAACTCTTTTGATATTACTTGATCAGCACTGATTATTCTTTTAGTCCTCAGCATTGCTGATATAAACCTTTGATAAAAGTTTGATAAAAATCTAGAGACAACTGTATAGTGAGAGCAGTTGCAATGCAATTTTTCATATAATTAATATTTCCAATGGGCACAACTCTACTACAAATAGTTGATCAGCACTGATTTTCAACTTGTCCTAGACATTGGTGATATAAACCTCTGATATAAGTTTGATAAAAATCTGGCAAGAATTGTATGCATGACAGTACTTACAAATGCAATTTTCCATATAATTAATATTCCCAAGGGGCATTACTCTTTTAAAAATAGTTGATTGGTACTGATTTTTTAGTGTGTCAGAGAAATAAGTGATATAAACCTTAGATATAAGTTGATAAAATCTGACAAGAATTATACATGCGAGAGAATTTAAAATTGGAAGGAGGGATGCATGCCCAGTATTTCTATGTCCCCCTCAACAAATCACACAGGGGACAACAAAGGGCATCTAAAGTATTATTAGTCCAACAGATAGATGAATGACTATTACCAATAGAAATTTACAAAACAGCTTTCTCACAATAATCTATTTAAAAAAGTATCAATTTTACTTTAGTCAGATATGCAACAATTAACTTCCCTTTTGCAACATACTTACCCTAAAGGTATTTCTATAAGTGACAACAAGGATGTGAATTGTGAAACAACCAAACTTTTAACTGAGGGATCCTCTTGTCTCAACTTCAACAAGGCATTGATCAAGGCATCAACCTGATGTAAAAGATTTTTGGTTATTTTCATTGAAATAAATATTTATGATAATTCAAAATATATTGTAGAGTCAAAAGTCCTTCATCACTATGTGACAAAGGTTTTCAACTAATATCCTATCCCCACTAAATTTCCAAGCATTAGTACAAACATCCTATCCCAACCTTAACTTTAATATTTTATCCAACTGGATTTCTAAGGATTTGTAATAATATCCTATTCAAACAATACCTTAGCATCATTTATGAGCAGTAGTAATAATATGTTATAATATCCAATTCTGCACAGCTTAGCACTAATATCCTATTCCCACTATACCTTAGAGCTAGATTTTCATTTATCTGTGTTCCCGTGGTCTGTATCTCTCTGCTTAACTCTTCATAAATTTGCATATCACGGCTTTGTGACGTCAAATACGTTAACCTGGCCTAAATAACTTTGATCCAGACATATCACCGACGTCATAATGAAATAATCCACGTTGACAAGATTGACCTGAACTCAAGTCATCTTCACGTTTGCTCAACAACAATATGAAGCCTTTTTGAACTCATGACAACCTGATAATCGGTACATATTAGCACTTATATCTTACCCACAACATACCTTAGCACTAGATTTTCATGTATTAGCACTAATATCCTATCCCCATTATACTTTAGCACTTCTTTTCCAAGAATAAGTATTCATATCCTATCCCTATCATACCTTAGCAGAAGATTTCCAAGGATTAGCACTAATATTCTATCCCCAACATATCTGAGCACTAGATTTCCAAGCATACATATTAATATCCTATCCCCACCATACCTTAGCACTAGATTTCCAAGTATTAGCACTAAATTCTTATCCCCACCATACCTTTGCACTAGATTTCCAAGTATTAGCACTAATATCCTATCCCCACCATACCTTAGCACTAGATTTCCAAGTATTAGCACTAATATCCATTTGTTCTGTGTCTTTCTGTTGATTTAACTCTTCAATTGAAGGTGCAAGCAATTTGTCTGTATCAACATTTCCTCTACATAATGGGCAATGTGGATGAGGCTGAAAAGTTAAACATTGGTATTCCATCATAGTAACATCAGAGGCAAGATATATAACTATACATTACAGAGAAGACATATTTGGTGACCTAGGAGAATAGGATTGCAAAAATGTTTCTATTATGATAATAATAATATAATAGTTAATCTTCAAATTATACTCTCACTTATTTCTCATCATAGAAACCAAAGTGCAGGGATCCAATGCAATAAATTCAGTGTTTTTGGAGAAGTTGATTGCCGATATATTTCTACACAAGGGAATTACTCAATAGTACTTCAATCTTAACTCAAGAACCTAAAATGCAGAGTCAAAAATACAGAATGCACCACAACATTACAATGTGATGGTTTGTTCATTACACTGAGAGAAGTGGAATGCAAATACTAAAATGAAGACTTCCACCAGTTTGACTCATATTTATCTCTTGAAAACTAAATGCTAAAACCAAATTTAAGATGCATAACAACACTAAACAGAGAAGAGGTGTATATTCAACTGAAATCCATTTATAAGTTTTTGAGGACCTCCAGATTGAAGACAATAATTAAAGAAAGTTGGACATTCTTAATACTGTATGCCTCCCACTTTGTTAGTACAGTCAAACTTGTATTAAGTGGTCATTTATGAGAAGTGTTAAAAGTGACCACTCAACAGAGGTGACCTTTTAAAAGTGGTTCCGAAAAATTCCGATTTCCAATATCACCCATGTCTAGGATCTCGGTAAATTGCTTTGGTGTTTTCAATCAGTAGAGTTATAGTTCTTGGAGCAGTGAAATTAAAAATGGTGGATTCCAGCATTGTTAATTGGAAGAAAACGTTTGAGACATGGTATTTATTTTCAGGAAGAAACAAGTGGGTGATACTGTTTTCAATGGAAGGTGTAAGGATTTGAACACAAGGAATTCACAAATCCACCTCTTATTGTAAGTTCTTGGTATAACAGGTTGGTAGTTAAAAACATTAATATTACCATTGTTAAAAGTTGAAATGATAATTTCGTGCAAAAATTAGGTGACCACTGACCACATTACACAGGTGACCCCTAAAAAGAGAAATTATAAAGAGAAAACATGTGGGAGGGTCCAAAAGTGATCTTTAGAGACAGGTGAGCGCTGAAAAGAGGCGACAGTAAAGGCAGGTTTGACTGTGAATTATATATATATATTGTGATACACTAATTTGTTTCAGGGTCTTTCCATTTAAGTAGGAAATATTTCAAAAGTATACCTTTTCTGACTGAATCACAGCATCAATGCATCTCTTACAGAAGACATGTGCACAATGAGTAATAACAGGTTCCTTCAGACCATCTAGACAGATGGCACATTCTTCATCTGAACCAGATCCTAAAACTAATAACAATTTGCTGATTAATTTTTCTCTCAAATGATCAGGAATGGCCTGCCCTGGTTCAAGGTGCCCAACTGTCTCCTGAATTGCTGCTGCTGCTTTTGCAACAAGCAGTGGATGGCAGCACATCTGTCTTAATCTCATCAATATAGCCAAAACATCGCCATAGTTGTGGAGCAATGTCCCTTGAGTGAAGTACCTGAATTGTTAAAATACAATACTGTTAACTGTAAAATATCCGTTATAACACTATATCTTATCATCATTTTATCTGTAAGAATGTGCTTTGATAAAATGGATTTCTTTATCTTGGCATAAAATGATAATACATTTTGAGGAAAATGTTCCATTGGATGATAGAAAAAGTTGCATGGTTTCATCATGGAACGGGATTTATGTAATTCAGAGGATTTGTTGCAAATCAGCAGATCCAAACTAACAACAATATTGCAGTATTTTTATACATATGTACAAAACCAAAAAAAAATGCAAGTCAAATGTTACAAAAAATTTAAATTGCCAGTCAGTTTAATAATAAGAATAATGTGTACAGCACTGACTATAGGGTCCTCCACTAAGGCTTGAGACCATGGCAACTTTTTTGCTTAGGCCACGCCAAATTAATACCTTGTTCGTCGTGAAAGGTCGACCAGAAAAAAGTACTTTTTTTTTAAACCTGCGTCCATCTCTAAATTTAGGAAACAAAAATTTTGATCAGTTGTGCGTTTGAAAGCAACGCCATACAGACATAGAAATTGACATTAAAAACGATCTAGATCTAACATTCACAACATTGTTGTTACAATTTCATCTGCGAAATTTAGTATGATAATCATTCTTAACGTAAGACATGAGTGGAATATTTGTAGTTACAGTGGTAACGCAGGCAAACACATCAGTAGAATATGATTTGGCCAATTCTTTTACCGATTTGTTGGAAGTGCTCCGTGCAAAAACATCAAACTACAAATTATTACGACCCAGGAAATATGACAGCAATTTTATGACCAGCTGCAACTACCATCCCTAAAAGATCGTCGAACCCAAAACAGATTTATCCTCTTCTGCAAAGGCATACACGGTCAAGCCAACCACCTGTTAATGATCTGATCAACTCAACCCGAGAAAAAAACATCTAGGACAACCAAAAAACATGCATTTATATGGCCAACATTTCCTGAGACTGCAAACAAAACCAGACACACTAAAATTCTGCTTCATACCAATACAATTAAAGATTGGAACCTACTACCACTGGATATTTTCACCAAGATTCAAACAGCAGAAGAACCAGCTAAAACTTTCAGTGATATTGTAAGGGGTGTCCCACTAAGTGAATTACTTGACTCATGCTTGGTGAAGTAATATCCTTGAATGATTCACTGTATTGAAAGATTTAAATTGTGACAATATAACATGCATAAGAATAAAAGAGAATCCCAAATGGAAATGAAACTATCATATTGATTTTTTTTTTTTTTTAGAATAAAGGTTTTTCCTTAAAAAATTTGAAATTTATTTATATTTGCTAGTATCATTACCAAGTTATATTTAAATAAAATTGAAAAGGGAAAGGGGAATGTGTCAAAGAGACAACAACCTGCACACAGAGCAGAACACAGCCCAAGGCCACCAATGGGTCTTCAACACAGTGGGAAAATCCAGCACCCAGAGGCTGACTTCAGCTGACCCCTCAACAATAATGTATACTAGTTAAAAGCATGGAAATTGACAAGAATGTTTATGTGATAATTGAATTTAACACATTAATCCGTCTTTACAGTTTACAAAATCTTCTAAAAGAAAAATTGTATGATTGTCAGTGAGACAACCTTCAACCAGAAAACCAAATTTGTTGAGGTTTGCAACTAGTTCACGGTATGGCCTTCAACACAGAGCAATGTCCACATGCATATATTCATGTATATACATGATATATACCTGGTATATAAATTTGATTATCATTAAATTCTACAGGAAAGCAATGACGGAAGTGGAATGTATTGAAATGTTCCTTTTGTTTAGTTAGTATATAACATCTGATGGGTTCATTTGAATGGTATAAATTGGTGTGGTTTTGGAGGACAGTCCTGTATTAATTTTCAGCTTGTTATATACAGAAATATATTTGGTTGTATATACAACTTGAAGCTTTATTCATGCATTTATGCTTTGCATACTTTATTTAAAGCAACATACATTGCATCACTCATAATTTACATTAAATATGGATGCATGCCTGATCAAAGCTGTTGCACTTTTTCATGTTCAGCAGGATCCTATTTATTTGATCAGACTACATAAAGTCGTAGGTTTTGCTACAAGTTAACCATTTTATACTTGGAAATGTTTTGAGAAGATTAAACTGGATGTTAGAGAACAAATAGAGAAGCAAAGTAGGTTAAAATAAGAAATAAGATATGAGATATATAAAATATCAAGCACCGAAACTATGTAAATTTCTAATCGCTCGCTTGCTTAAAATTCTTTTCATAAGATTTTTTTTTTAAATATTTCAAAAATAATACCGCTCGCTAGTAAAAAATTCCTTTGCCTGCCAAAAATCAAATTCCAGAAAGAAAAAAAACAAATAAAAAAATTTCACACTCTAGCTACCCTTTTTCAAAGGAAAGAGTCCGAAGAACTAGAAATTAATTTGGTGTGGCCTTAGTCAATTCTTACTACAACATGATCACATAAATAGATTCCCCATTTCCACTCTGGAAATCTAAATACTTTCATAAATCTAATTCAGAAAGTTTTAAAAGATTAAGCTCCATAACACTAAATATGGTTACATCTGATTCTAGGTTTTAAGATTCAGTCATGGAGAATTTTTTATTCATTTTTTCTTCTACCTATATACTGCCCCTTTTAATTCTATAATAATAAGAAACTTTAACTTTTCTGTACAAGTGAAAAAATTAACTAAAAGTATCATATACATGATATATGAATGTCATTTTACAATATATATTGTATTCAAGGTACTAACTTCTATCAACGTAATTATCATTAAGCCGGGACAAATATTATATGAAAAATTTATTCATGTCACTAGTTACAAATTATTTATATAGTTTTACCTGCTGACAATTATTTTTCCTTCCTTCTGCATGGCTTCATAAACTGATCTTTCCTCTTCACTCAACTGGACATGTTCAATGAAAACATTCCTTTCAGGTAAATCTACTATTGGTTTATCATTTATCTTCATGGTCTTTGTTCTCCTCATAGCTATCGCTCCCATTAGATGCTGGACTCGTCTGTAAAAATGTTAATCATAAGAAAACAAGAAAATATTTTAGCACAACCCACAAGTTCCTTGCCTGTATGCATTTTTGATAGTAAAGTGCAATTTTTAAAATTGAATTGGCAATACTGTAACATATAAAATATACAACACATTAAGTCAATGAAACCATGACTGATGGTGCAGGACCAAATAATCTCCATGGAATTGAGATGTGCCAATAGTAATACCATTTCAAATATCATTGACTCATTATTATGGGTACATCTTTAGCTGACAACGGAAACAGGACACCTAAGTCTTGCCTTTGAGACTGCGTTGTGGCCAGACATAAACCATTTATTTGCATTCTAGTCTTTTCTTATACATGAATAATTTTTTTATGCATAAAAACAAGAAAATCTTTTCTTTTTATATTTTCTCTGTGAATGTTCTTTCTTATATCTGCTTTTTTTCCTTATTCTAATTTAAGAGTAGCATAGTTATAAATAAAAAAAAAATATTTTGATATACTTGAGAGCATTGTCATTTCCTTCATTTAGGGGTCTTTCTATGGCTCTGTTCCACCATTGTTTATCTGTAAATGGACTGATCTGTAAAAAGTTTACCAATGACCAAAGATCCTTCATGGAATTTTGAATGGGAGTACCTATAAATAGACAGTAATTTATCATACACCTATAGCTAGTAGTAAATACAAATACAATCAATGGCAATCTGTTTTGCATCAGCCATCTGTGATAATATCAATTTCAGTTACAGTTGTACAGGCTTTAACAAACCCTTTCGAAACAAGCTTTATCAAAACATCTGTTTTAAGTATATTTTCAGGTGTATATATGATATGGCTTTTTTTTCTTGTCAATAAAAAATGCTATTTAAACCCTCAAGCAATAAAATCCTTTGAGCAGCGCTCTTTGGATTATATTGGGTGTCTCAGGTTGATATTAAAGGGATATTGAAATAGAATATTCTCTATACAATCTACAAACTTATATCTTCTTTTCTGACAAACATCAGATAAAATTCTATTCAGTACTAATCATTAATTCAATGTCATTTTGATATATTACATGTTTGAGGGGAATATGAAGGAACAAAGAACCATGCAACCAGTCTATAAAGGGCACCTATGGAAAAGCAGACAGGTGCCCTTCATAAAAATATTGTTGGATGGATAAACATTACTTTATATTGTGCCTTTTATCATCTTTGCAAAATTTAAAACAGAATAATATAGGTGTGGGTCAAAGGGCTTAAAATATTTCCAAATGATTTTGGTTATCTGTTTTGACTTTTTTAAACTGTCAATTTATGCCAGAATTCATGGCAAAGAGGAACCTGTATCCAGAGTTTTACAGCATAAACAACATGAAATGTCCTTACTGATTTAAAAAAAAAATGTATAAGAACGAGTCAAGGAATGCAACAGTTAGAACTCATAAAGGGTTTTAAAGTTCACATCGTAATAAACATGTGAAATAAGTTTCAAGTTGATGTGACCACATCTTGGTGGTAAAGTATCTTTCCCATTTTTTTTTAACCTGATCCAGGACGGACTACCAAATGGACACAGACCAGAAAACATAATGCCCCTCTACTATCATAGGCAGGCGGGTCATAAAAAATATACTTAAAACTGTTATCCCCAATTAAGTTCTTGCACGTATTTGGAAAGAGTACAAGAGTACTCCAGTATTGATTCCCCAAAAATTGTCATCCCTAATAAAAACAAAAAAACATCATTAAGAATAATCAATGTACGCATATCGATCAAAGTTAAAGAATGGCAAACTTTGAATCTTTACCCGTCAAAATCCATTTTCTTTCAGCTTTGAGAGCACAAATAGCTTTTGTCTGCTGTGCATTTGGATTTCTTATAGCATGTCCTTCATCCAATACTATCCTCAACCATTCCACCTTCTGAAGTGGGTTGTTATTTCCCTGAAAGATATCAATTTTGATTACAAAAAAACAAGGAAGAAATAATCTCATTTTGGCTCAAAATCCATCAAAATACAAAAATCTAGAGAAGGAATCTCCAAGAGGCATGTGTCCTCGACTTGAATCCTATGTATAACAACTCAAAACAGAAAATTTTTCACAAGAATAATCCTGGGGTACAATACTCTGACAGAGACTAGGTTTCAGTAACATCTGACACCAGGATGCTTGGTAAACTAAAAGACAATAGTTTGTGTTCAATCCCCAAAAGTATCTTAAATGTATCATTTACCTTATTTGATAAAAATCCTTCACATAATTTTTCAAATTGTTCACAGGATATAGTGGTGGCCATATTTAAGAGGTGGCAGAAATCATCAAGTACAACTCTTGAAGAGGACCACCAATGTATTACTAGATCAAAGATTGAAAGCCACTGGTCCTTCACATGAAACAAAAGTCTTATTTTTGATGAACCTGTAATTTTTAGTAGACACCAACCAATGTATTTCAAGGTGAAATTTATTAAACTAGCTCATCAACTTGTTTAGTATATTATTCGGATAAATAAAATTCCAGTAGCATTATGAGTGCATAAGCAGAGATGTGAACTTTATGAATTCATGGTAGAAGAAATAGGTTTTTGAGTCATAGAAAACTTTATTTGAATTGAGTATATTATAATTCATAAACAGTGAGGGACAAAATCAAAATTCTAAAATACACGGTAAGATTAAGCATATCAAAGAACCCCAATATTGCAAGATTATTTAAACCCCATTGAAATTGGTCAGAAATAAGCAATTCAAACAAAGTTTTGAAAAACTGCTTGTTTTTTACCCCTTTTTGGTCCCTTATTTCTAAGCACATACTGCCATAACCCCCAAATACAACCCAACCTTCCTTTTGTGGTATGAAACCTTGTGGTACAATTTCATACAAATCCATACACATATACTCAAGTTATTCTCCTCAAAAAGAAAAATAATTGCTTTTGGCCAAAAATTCTTAAACAGTTAGGGCCATTACCCCCAATATCGATCCCAACCTTCCTTTTGTGGTATGGAACCTTGTGGTACAATTCATAGAGATCCATACACTTATACTCAAGTTATTGTCTGGAAACCAAATGTCTTTGGACGACTATGACGACATCCCTATACCATTATACGGCCACAAATTATGACAGTCGTATAAAAACTGTATTCTATTCTGAAACTGACAAGAAGACTGTTCCACAGGGTAGTTGCAACATATTTGAACATTTTTTTAACCTTAAGTAGATATTCTTATACTGGGGACATCTTAAATGTTACTGTATATAAAAGAATACTTGGTAGTTTTAAATTTTAGAAGACTGTTCACACATGAAGGAGCGATATTATTCACAATTTTAGTTTCTATAGCCATTTATTCCAGATTCTGCATACCATCAGAGATGATACCTTAGCCTTATCACAAGCAGTAATTATGTGGAATTGTAATCACCATTTATTACTATTATTTACATTTTCAAGGTGTACAAGTTCCCTCCCCCCCAAACAAAAAATATTTAAAGTTTTTTCAGGAGATATAGTTTTAAAGGTTGGAAAATTGATGTTTCTTTAACCTTGTTACCCTACAAGACTGAGAAGAGAATTACCTTTGCATCAGCAGTAACTGTAGAGTAAGTAGTCAGTACTATGTCCTGTTGACCAATAATTTTGGGATCTTTAGTTCTGCTGGACCCATAGTATGTGTATATATCAAGATGTACATTTTCATGGATATGATCTTCAAACTGGTCCTATTAATGATCAATAAAAAGATGCATGTTAGTATAACCTAGTGTTAAAGTACCACAATAGACACTCTGACATGTATTAACAGAATTGCAATGATTTGATCATATCAAAAATTCAGGAAACATAGTTCTGGGCTGACCCCCTAAAATAAACAACTTCTTAGTGCCAGATCGAAGCATTCAAAATCTATGTTCAAGATTTTTGTGACCTAATATTACAAATTTACCTCTTCTCAATATAAGTTCATAATCAATATATGTATACATAGATGATCTCTGAATTATCCCTTCCCAGGAGATCTTTGTATCGCATCTTACCAGCCAGTTATTTAAAACAGACAATGGTGAAATGATAAGAGTACTTCTTGGTCCAGTTGTCTCAGTTCTTCCTGTACCAGAACCACACTCACTTGAGGAAGCATTACCACCTAAAACTTCTAAATCATCCAAAGGATCTGAAAAAAGTTCAATAGATAAATGATGCATTTTCAATAATGTACCAAATAAGTAAAATTTATCATTGCATGCAAGAAACATTGGCACATTCCTAAAGAGATAGGATCTAGGAGCACATACATGAGCAGAATAATCTTTAATTATTCAATTTTGATAACTAACTTCCTCTTCAAAAACCTGTCTTGTCTAATTCAAATAATTAAATAAAATTTGAAAATGGGTTGAAAATGCTTTTATGAACTTAAGTTATGAAGAAAAAGTCTTCTGACATCAGAACTATATATTATTTAGATTGAAAGATAGTAGAGAATTTATATTTTTCATTTACAGAGATTTCATATACATGTACATGTATATCTGCCATGGGTATCAAAATTCACAAACTTTCATTCCTTACAAATCAGGTCAGGTTTGTTAAAAAGTATGAATAAAAGGATTGATTAATTGTTTTTTGCTTTATGTCTAACAGCAAATATTTCATTCATGTTCAGGACGAGAACAAAATTAACAATAATAAACTGTTGACACAGAGACATGTCTCAACTGTCAGCAGAAAATTTAAAAAAAAGACAATCCAGGCCTCTACATTATCATTTTTTCAACTTGTCCATTCCAGCAAGTTGGAAGAAAATCAACTTGTCAGACTTCTAAAGTAACTTGCCAAAATCAAAAGTTAAAAAAATAAAAAAAATGCTGTGAGTGTCCGTACCTACAGACACATTTATTAGATCATGTACAAGCTCTATATTTCTCAAGCGTTTCAGATGAATATTAATAAAGACATTCGCTTTAGCTGTTAACAAGTATCTGAAAATATGCTTCTTGTTAATATTTTTTTTAACGGAAATTGACTTCCGTTATTATGCATGCTTGCAATAATGGTAAAATCCAAGTAAAAATGAAAAATGATGATGCAATTAATCACGTAATACGCTCATGCAATAAAACCTGAGGAAATCCAAATTTGTTTACCTGAAAGTATGTTTACTAGCAATATATATTTGTCAAAGAAGCCAATTAATTATTGAATGCAAACCAATGTACTTAAATTGAAAATTGTGCCAACTTATTAACTCTTTAGAAATAATATAAACTCATTAATTGTAGGTCAATAAAGGAAATTTTTCACTTGTCCCATTGGACAACTAATATGTTGATTCTACCTGTCTGACACCTACTTTTATTTGTCCCTGACAATCAGACAAACTGTAATGTTGAGCCCTGCAATCTGATTGAAATAGTTGTCAAACTGATATGTACTGATGGTAATGCAACTTTATATAAAATATCATTGATCTGTCTCAAGATGTTCCTATGAAACTGACTTAAGCAGAAAACTTAACAATTGTTGACGCATCTGCCACCAGTAGGATCTGCAAGGTAGGGATTGACCGGGATGAAGGGTGGGAAATTTGGATATGGACATATGGACGTATGTTTTGCCTAGCAACAAGCTATCTAAGGACCCCAAAGAATTATTGTTGCAAGGGTCCTTTACATGCAGAGAGCATGTCTTTTTTTCTTAACAAGGCATCAGGTTTACCATCTCCTTTCTGCCTGGACATTGCTGCATAGCCAAATGGTTGGCCCACTTTAGGAAAGGTTTTAAAGCCAGAACAGATTACCATATTTCAATACAACAGTCATCCCTTGAGAGATTATACATCAATGAGACAGCAACCCAACAAAAATGGCCAAAGGACATGTCAAGGGCAAAATACTGCTTTAACAATAGACAGGTGTATAAAAAGGTCACTTTTTCTGCATTGTACTTTTTGTAATTCTAAGTCAATGTTGTTTTAATGACACCAAACACTGTTATTCAACAATAATTCTATTATGACGACTTATACTTCGTCAATCAGTATAGTCACAGTATATCTACTTTTAGCGCAAACGCAGGAATACATATTTATACGACCAAGTAAACTTACTTTGTTACAGTAAAAAACACCTTTTAGGTAGGCCATGCATCAATTACAATACGGTTATCTCGATTCTAATAGTGCACAATAAACAAATCAGTCCATTTCAGTTATTTTGGTTTTAAATTTCATAAAACGAAAAATTCCGCTAAATCTTGTCATCGCCTTTGGCAACTAAACAAGGTGACGTCATATGTATGCAGCCGGCATCAAATGCAAACACCAACCGTTCTCAGGCCTCTTGTACGCCTCAGAATGTAATAAAATTGGATAAAAAGAACAATTTAAGGTGAAAATGTGAGTTTTTTTATTTATTATCATACGTTCAGGTAAAATGTACCAGCCAAAACAGTATTGTGTGTGCAGCCGTAGATTTGTTTTCATTTAACCATGGGTTGGGCATTTATATTCGTATTTTACCACTCGCGATAAATATACAACTTTAAAGCGTATCAAGAATAAACTGTCAACTCAGATATGTCTCAACTGTGTTTGACAGTATATAAAATGTAAATGTTGAAATTTAAATACCAACAATATAACATGTAAACTATATGCAAAACTCTGCCAGAAGTAGCATGCGGAAGTCTCACCTCTGCTACTTTGTAGCTGTATGAATTTTTGTTTCCGATCTATAAAATCACTTTAATGGTAAGATTTTCCCTTAATTTAAAATTTATACTTTAATTTCACTGATAAGATGTCTATTTTGTTGTTGTTGGGTTCCAGTCTCATAACAGTTTGCCTCATATTTCTTTATTCATATACTGATTATTTTAAGTTATTTTTATGTCCGTTTTCGTTTCCATTCTCCAACTTTAGTTTGCCTCAACCAAATGTTATGAAACTATACACAATGCTTATTACCACAAAACACAGATCAAGTTTGAATTTTGGTGGCGTCACTTTTACCGTTCTAGAGTTATGCCCCTTTACAAATGGAAAAATTGCTGAATTTTTCATTTCCGTTCTCTCATTTTAGTTTGCCTCAACCAAATGTTATGAAACTTATACACAATGCTTATTACCACAAAACACAGGTCAAGTTTGAATTTTGGTGGCGTCACTTTTATGCCCCTTTACAACTGGATAAATTGCTGAATTTTTCGTTTCCGTTCTTTAACTTTAGTTTGCCTCAACCAAATGTTATGAAACTTATGCACAATGCTTATTACCACAAAACACAGGTCAAGTTTGAATTTTGGTGGCGTCACTTTTATGCCCCTTTACAAATGGATAAATTGCTGAATTTTTCGTTTCCATTCTTTAACTTTAGTTTGCCTCAACCAAATGTTATGAAACTTATGCACAATGCTTATTACCACAAAACTCAGATCAAGTACGAATTTGGGTAGCGTCACTTTTACCGTTCCTATGTAATGTCCCTTTATAATGTTATATGCAAGCGGGGGTATCATCTGTGTCCCACGGATACATTCCCCATTTATTTGAACTAAAGATAGAAGACATTTTTTCAATTTGTCTGTCATTGCAAAAGTGCATTACACTTACAGATACAAAAAGACAAATTTTACACAGGTTTGGTTGACTGTAATTAACATCCAGTGACAAATATTTCATTAATATTCAGAAAACAAATACAATAATTCAATAGATATGATTTCCAGAGTAGGTCGACTAGGATGCCACTTGAAAAGAGTCTCACTTCAGACATGGTAAAAAATGTTGCCTTGTAAAAGTTCAGTTACGGACCACTCAAAGAGATCTTGCAATTGTTCTAAAACGAGAAGACAATGTGGCATGCTCCCTACACTCTTGCTGCACTGGGTAGTGGATTTAATGCCCCCATTCTGACTTAACATTGTTTTGCATTGGCGAGTCCAGGGATGACCATATTCCAATATCCCATTTAACATCCTCAAAAAAATTAACTCGATAATCATAATCATGAAAGATTACATACTAGGTATTTGCACTGGGTTAAAATTATAAATTGACAAAACTAGGTTAGAAATTTAAGTTCAGACAGGACTTACCTAAGCAAATATAACGGACATAATCATGATTATCTCTAATACAATTTTTGTACAGATTCAAAGATTAGCTAAGACTTGTAACTTTACAGATTCAAGATTAGCTAAGACTTGTAACTTTATATGCATGGATAGATTATAACTGCATCATATGAATATAGAAACATGCAAGTGAGAAGAAGAGCACAATTGGTTCCCATGGAATGTCAAATTTCTGTTGAAAAACAGATTTACTATATATTATCAAAGCAACACATATGTTGTCAAGTTGTCAATACAACAAATTAAGCATTATGTCATTTTAAAGTTCTAATATCTGTTTGAATCAAGGCTTTTTTTCTAAAGTATAATTTGCTCGTTCCTACAAACAAAATACGTGTTTCTGCTTTGATCTTTTATATAAAAAAAAGATAGATACTATAAGTTATCTACGTTCATATCCGTAAATATGGATATTTTAACACCCTGAAGTATCCCGAGGTAATGGATAGCAACGTACGGGTATATGGGTTACCAACACCCAGGGGCTATGGGTTTTGTAACGACGTGCGTTATCCAATCAAAATCCTAGAAATATACTAAGCCGGGGATAACTTCTTTTATTCTGTCTATAAGTTAATGATAATGCATACGCATGTAAAGTGTAAACATTTCTAATGTTTGGAACCATTTTCACTTTATACTATGGAATACACATGCATTCTATCTTACTTTGACCTTCTCTATCTTTCTTTCTCGGTCAAAACTTTGTTGAGGCAGTTGCCTCATTGCCTCAAGAGAAGCTACGCCACTGTTAACTACACCATTCTGATACTAACTGTTGTCTGTAAAACAAATGTCCACTAGAACCTCAAAACATATATATATATAAATAATTAGAACAGTATTTATACCGGATTCCAAAACCATGACAGGTTGTTCTGCAGGGTCAGGTAAGTCTTCATAACATGTACTTGAGGCTGGTACTTTTACAGACTTGATAGTTTCAGTCTTCAGATTACATCCTGCATTTTGGTCAATTTTTTTGGACTCTAAAAAATATAGCAATGTATATAAGCATTTTCAAGAATAGGTTCTCCATTTGTTTGGTTGACAGATTTAGACCAATTTCTACTGTACTTAAACGTTGATAACCAGCAATTTTATTAAAGCAAATTAAAGAAGTATTTCAGCATGTGCTATCTTTATCTATATCTGTGAAAGTATACCAACTTCTAATATGTGGGGCGACAAACACATATTATAGATATAAGAATGGAACACTGAAAACTCAAGGATAGTGATTGAAGCCATCACAAAGAGCTGAGTTGCATGTAAACAACTGATTGTGATTCAATTTAAAAGTAACCAGGGTTATTCTATTACAACATAGCTTATACCAGATCATTCTTCCCTGCATGCCAAACACTTTTTAGAAGTGGTGAATAATTGTACCAAGTTTCATTAATGAATTCCAATGGGGTTAAAAGGTTTAAATGATTTGTGACGAACACAGACAGACAAGATGATTACATAAGGCCTTCAACCAATTAAACACATATTTTTTGTGATGAAGGCTATATTGTTTTAAGATTTGTAATGAATTGTGAATATCTTCCACAAATAACAGCTATAACTAAATGCATCCTTATTGTTTTGCTTTCATTCTATATCTATAAAGTATGTGTTGTTTACTAAAGTTCCCCACTGGTTATTCTCATTTTCTCAACACCAAACATTTTCCTTCTTAATGTATCGTAATTACACATACTTACCTGAACTAATAACAAAGTTTTTAGCAGCTTTGATGACTTTATGTCTTTGTCCAAATGCTTCAATACCTATACTCTTTAAATCATCATGTCCCATCTCAACCAATATATCTATTGAAATCTGTTCCCTTTCAAATATTTCTTTTAGGTGGAGTAATTCTACACTTTTCAATAAAGTCACTATGCAGTCTTCTTTGACAGAATCATGTTGTTTTCTGGATTCATCAACAGTTGGAGTAGGCTTTTTCTTTTCACAAGGAATAATTGCCACTGTTAAAGGTCAAAGTATGACTATAGTATAATGAAAATTTACAGAATATCTTGATAATCCATCAAACTGAGGTCAATGTCACATAATCCCAATCAGATGGACATGTATCCTTACAATGATTCTATATAGCAACATATTGTAAAACTATAATTTAAAAAAGTAACTGAAAATTTGAATAATAACAAAAACTTAAAGGGGCACTAGCTGTCAAATTCACGTTCACCGATTTGACTCAAATTCTCATATTTGATTTATATTCATGTAAAACATTTATTCAAATTATAAAAAGTCTCAAATAAACAATTTACAGGACATGGGCTCGATAATATGTAGCTTTGTTTCGTGTGTATTTTAGTATTGACGCCATCTAATTAACTATTGAGTTGACCTCCGATGGTCATATAAGCGATATAAACATAAATATAGATAAAAATAGAAAGTGAAATCGTGCAATTGGATTTTTCTAGGTCTGTTTAATTTCATATTATAGATTAAAAATATATGTTATTCATCGTTTTTACCTGTATAAGAATTATTTCATGTGGATCTTATCAGTCAATCAAATGAATTACCTTTGTTTCACTTTCAATGTTGACATTCTTTTCCTTTAAATAACTGAACACGCACAATACATGCGTTATCCATCTCAAGCTAAGGGGTTAAATTGAGGTTTACATTTATATGGATTCAATGAGGTCCAATTATTTACTTGCAAGTGAATAATTCATCTTCAATGTTTCTTAGCTTAATTTGACAAAATTGGACCATACTGGCTGCTAAAAGCAAATTATTATTTCACTATTTCACTTTCATTAATAATTAAACAAAAAAAAATCATACTTCAGATTTTTTATATATCTCGTAGCTAGTGCCCCTTTAAAGCTGATCAATGAACTATGGAAATCAGGTTAAAGTCAGATGAACCCTGTCAGACAGACATGTATTCCTTACAATCATTCTTTACAACACATGCAGTTGACCTATAAATTACCTTATTAAAGTGAGAATCTGATAAAAACATGAAAACTTAACATTGATGAATGAACTATGAAAATGGGAGTATTTAGATTCAATACATTATTGATTGTTATATATGCTAGCTGTTAGTTTCTTATTGTTCTAATTAAAACGCCTGCACCTCTCTTTTAGTCATTTAACTTAGCAATCAATCAAATCCCTCGAAATTTGAATCTGTTATGTCTGTGATTTATTGTTGACCAATCATTATTGGTTATTCATATTTCCAGGCCTTGTCTAGACCAATCAGATTTAAAGCTCAGTTTGCATCCCAGCATCTTTCAGGCATTCAAAAATTTTACTTGCAGCAGTAAACATCGTTTTAGCATTAGAAATATTGGCGTCTCTTTTCCCACTCTCCACATCCTTGGCTATTTTAGTTCATTTATTTTGTGTGTTAATAAAGAGTTACTATTATTTGTATACTGTACATTTCATTGTTATGCATACTGTTATGTTGTGAATTGATGCTGTAGTTTAGCTATGTTCCACAGTATTTAGAATTTTCTGTGGAGAACCACTTTCGCTCATCTTTTATTCAATTCTAGATCATCACTAGTCATGCTTATTTTTGCCTTATATGGCTACAGCATACCTGCCAACCTCTGAAACCTTCAAAGAGGGAGATCTCCCCATCAGCTATGACAGCTAAGGGGGAGATTTTGCGCTAACGGCATTTGCAAGTTAAATATATGACCTGTTTATTTATTCATCTATAAAACACCAATAAGAGTTAATAAATATACTTTATTTCTTCAATTCATGGTTATAATCTATACAAGGGTTATTTTTTTTACCTTTTTCAATACCTTCGAGTCTCACAACTCATAACATTCCATATTTTGATTATGCTGTGAATCTCACACTAAGCATACCGGTACTTTTAAATGTCGTACAGACAACTAGAAGCAACCGAAAAGTTGATTGAACATAATGTGCAAAATGAAGAATCATTACCGATGAACTTAGTCGTAAAAATTGAAAATCTTAAATCAAATCTGCTTGCAATTTGTAGTTATATTTCTTCATTTTTATACTGCCGCTTGGTCCAAACAAAGACCTCCATCTTGTTGGAGTTGACATAGCATAAATGATTTTCGATTACTTATAAATCGAACATAAAAACTACTGACCAAAGTTTTCAAATGATTGCTGATTGTTTGTTTACTTCTACTGACAGTAAAGAAAAAGCCAGAGAAATGCGAACGCGGGTCATTCCCGGTTAAAATAGCTGAATGCAGGAGATTCTATACTCCCGCGTGGGAGTGGACCAGAAGTTGGAAGATTTCTGGAATTTCTTTGTTTGCGCGGGAGACTCCCTCTCAAAACGGGAGGGTTGGCAGGTATGGGCTACAGGCATGATATACTAACTTTAATATTCAGTTAGAATGTGTCTTCCTTCAAATGATCAAGCTATTTTAAATACTTATGGTCTCCCAGAAATACTACTGATTTCAATCAAATTTTATGATGAGATTTCAAGAAACATGTTTGGAGTGTTGATTCTGATTTTTTTTATTTGTTTTCTTGTCAGAGAGGAAGTATTCAACCAACAGCTGAGGCTACCTTAGCTAGCTAGCACATCTTGACTGTGCTTTCCAAATTATATGCAGTCTTTTACTTCCTTGTTCAAGTTAATGGTCATCCTGTTGATAGCCACATTGTGCAGGTTTTTTCAAATATTGTTTTACTTTTACTACACATATAGTCTTGATAGGCAAAGGGTGAGGTTTGTGCTCATGTTAAACTGGTTCAACATACCAAGTCAGGCTATCAACACCGTGTGTTGTGTTGGTGCATTCTACTGTGCTGTCCAATATTTTTTGTAATTCCTATTCCTTTTTGTCAAACCTTCGACGATTGTCGAAAAAGCGAGACATAGCGATCCTACATTCTGTCGGCGTCGGCGGCGTCCACAAATATTCACTCTGTGGTTAAAGATTTTTGAAATTTTAATAACTTTCTTAAACTATCCTGGATTTCTACCAAACTTGGACAGAAGCTTGTTTATGATCATAAGATAATATTCAAAAGTAAATTTTGTTAAAAAAAAATTCCATTTTTTCCGTATTTTACTTATAAATGGACTTAGTTTTTCTGCAGGAAACATTACATTCACTCTGTGGTTAAAGTTTTTGAAATTTTAATAACTTTCTTAAACTATCCTGGATTTCTACCAAACTTGGACAGAAGCTTGTTTATGATCATAAGATAATATTCAAAAGTAAATTTTGTTAAAAAAAAATTCCATTTTTTCCGTATTTTAGTTATAAATGGACTTAGTTTTTCTGCAGGAAACATTACATTCACTCTGTGGTTAAAGTTTTTGAAATTTTAATAACTTTCTTAAACTATCCTGGATATCTACCAAACTTGGAAAGAAGCTTGTTTATGATCATAAGATAGTATCCAGAAGTAAATTGTAAAAAAAAATTCCATATTTTTCATATTTTACTTATAAATGGACTTCTTCCAGTTAACATTACATACAGTCTGCAGTTTAAGTTTTTAAAACATTTATTAGATTCATAAACTATCCTGAATTTTTACCAAACTTGGACAGAAGCTACTTACAATCAAAAGATAGTATAGAGAGGAATATTTTTATTAATTTTTTTCCTCATTTTTGTTGAGCCTGTGATTAACAGCAAAAAGTAGGCGAGACACTGGGTTCTGCGGAACCCTTACGAATTTTTATGTATATTACAAAAAACAAAAAAAACAAAAGTAACTATCATCTTCAACTTCTGCAAGATAAAGATTTTCTTTTCAATATCTAAGTTTCTGAAGCATCAAGATCATGTTTTACAAAAATCAACTCTAACTTGTATTCGCAATTAGGCCATGCAATTATATAATGTAACTTGAATTGAAGATCTTTTAACTTGCATCATACCTGCTGATTGTGTTGGTGAGGTCAAATCAACAACTTCTTTCTTTGTTTCTACAGTAACTTGAGATTTAAAAATAACTTGATCAGTAGCCGATACTTTTTTACATTTGGAAATTCCCTTTCCTTTCTTTCCGATGCCTTTTCCTTTTCCAATCGTTGGGTGGTAGGGTTTGTCATCACCTGATGGTTTAGCCTTTACTGTAAAACAAAATATTTGAGAAGTCTATTTATTTAATGAACAAATCTTAAGTATCTAAGGCATTTATTTTATACAAGGTCTTTAGATTTAAAATTCTTTCAATTTTTGTCATTCTTTGGTTTTTATAGTTTACTATACAATATTTGTTATGTACATCAATGGAGATCTTGGATTGTTGTCTCATTGACATATACCCACATTTCCTTTCATTCATATATCCTGAAATGTCTTGCATTAGGAGCAATATTTTAATCTTTATTAAAGGTAAAAAAACTCTGGCACTTAGATCAATGTCAAATTGACCCTTACAGATGTATATGTAATTCTTATTAACCCTTAGACTGCTGCATTCATTTCTATTGTACTTTTGTGTATTGCTGAATAAAATTTTAATCACTGATGAAATAAACATGCTTACTTGCAATTGCAATATCTTTGTAAATATTGAATATTCAACAATAAAAGTTATATAAAAAAGTATTGTTATATTCTGTATTTTTTATTTATTTTATTTTTGTGTGAGTCTCTGGTCATTTATTACCTGTACAGGTGCAAATAGAGGTAAACAAAGGTAAATTAATTTTTTTTCATGTTTTGTTAACGCGAATCCATCAATGTAAAAACTTTTCATTGGTATCCATGACTTCAGAATTGAACCAATATTGTTAAAAATCTCTTTTAAGAACTAGTTTCATTGCGATTATCAAAAGAAAAAAGTTTCTTCTCGGACCAACAGTTTTTTTTATGCAACTATTTTCTGGTATTTTCCTTCCGACTTTTGACTTTTACTTCCATGTACAAATATGTTTTAACAACAAGTTCATTGATATAACTTTCGTCAATAAATAATCTTGACAAACATAATGTTTGAATCTATCGATGTCAGTGATCAATATTGATTCACAGTTGAAAGGCGCAATGATAAACATCGTAAATCCTGTTTCATGTCATCCATTTTGAACATCGTCTGGGGAATCCCCGTGGTTCCCGCTTGAAATGTCTTCTGTTCACAGTTTTGCTAGAATGTTTCTATTTCCATCTATTATATCTTCTGTTCTCGTCCAAATCATTTAAATTGGCCGCCGCTGTTACATCGTTATCATTGAAATACTTCTGAACGTGTTGGCCATCACTCCAAACAATTTCCGCCATTTTGTTCCTTTTTTCATCTAAATTTTCACTTTTGGTTTCATCGCTTATACCTGATTTAAAGTCAAGAGAAACTCAAAAAGTACGCCGAATTTTAACCAATCAGAATCCATACAAGTCTAAACTGCCGCAATCTCATGAATATTGACTCCGCCCATTCCATGGTAACTGTGTAAACAAATGAGATACGGAAACGACAATAGTCGCGCGTAGCAGTAGCGGACTGCTTTATCGGAACGACAATAGTCGCGCGTAGCAGTCAAAGGGTTAACAAACTTGCATTCAAAATATAGCTTATCAATCATATAGAGTTTAACAGATTATCATAGACCTAATCCAAACACTTAAATCTGACCACTGAAGTGTGGAAATGGGGTAAATGCCACATGACACAAGATGAAGATGTACTCATAACAAATCCAGACTAAAAACTGGAATTGTCAAGTATAGTGAGTAAAATTCTGAAATCTTATCCATTACAACTGGAGCATTACAATTAGATTAAGGGCAGATAGATATACTCTCTGTACAATGAATCCCTTACCCAAACAATTCACTTAAATCTAGAAACATGATCACCTGGACTTCTTCAATCCAACAGTAAAACAAGTTTAAATAGGTAGCCACATCTGGCTTGAATGGGGATGTTAAATCTTATGTCTTATGCATAATGCCAAGATCCCTGCACATTTATGAATCCTTGCAGTTACTTTGAGGGGTTTGAAGATGGCCTTTTGCAAGGAATCCAACCTAACATAGTTTTGCAGTAATAGTACAAATTTCCAGATCTTAATCCCAGTTGAACCACTTGACAGAACCTACAAATTGTATTAGTGATAGTTGGCTATTTTCGAATGCATGAAATATTTGCCACTGGACATAAGCAAAACACAATCAATAAATCTGAATATCAAATATTGTTGACCTGTCACACATTGATATTAGATTAAGACCTTATTTGAAAACTTTAACATATTTCCTGGAACATGAACATGATGTAATAAACTGTTGACACAGAAAAAGACAATCTCATGGACAGCAACATTGCTAATTAATTCAAAGTTGGCGGACTATGACCTAGGGGGCAGGGCCTCGAAATAGTCGTCAAAACTGATATGTACCGATAGTAATGCAACTTTATAGAAAATATCATTGATCTATATCACAAGTAGTTCCTATCAAACTAACTTTAGAAGAAAACATAACATTGAAAATTGCCAATTAATTCAAAGTTACTGGACCATGACGTAGGGCCTCGAAAGAAAGTTGTCAAACTGATACGTACTGATAGTACTGCAACTTTATAGAAAATATTAATGATCTATCATAAGTAGTTCCTATTAAACTAATTTAAGCAGAAGATTTAACAACTGTTGATGCTGACGATGATGACATTGCCAGAAAAGCAAAACCTATGTCTTGCATTGTGCAACTTATCGTCACAGGTGAGACAAAAATGACAATGTCAGACAGACCTTTACTGGTAAAAAAAACCCAACATAACAATATTGTAGACCAATCACGTAAAGGTATCAAATGATATTAAATCTAATCCTAAAATCTAAACCTAAACACTAAAGTGTGAAAATTAAGTCAAGACCATTAGAAATCTTTACCACCAATATAAATTTCTTCAGACATAGTAGATGTTCTTTTTTTATTTGAACGCTTAATAATTAGGAAAAGTGATATTTTCTGATTTATATAAATTTGAAAAACTTGAACAAATCTCCATTCTTCAAGGATAAAAGCCAAAACAATCAAAATCTTCAAAAGACAAAGAGGTTACTTTCAAGGAGATGGCCCAAGAATTAAATGACCCCTATTTTCATTACAACGAATATATATAGTGTAGGAAAGAAGAGAGTTGAAATAAATCTTTAAATGTTTTATTTTAACTGATTTTTTTTATGGAAGGGGTGATTTGACCAGGTGCAAAAAGATCATATTTAGTTTTCGGAACATCTCTTGACTTGTCCACAAGGGTATGGATGTGTATTGGCAAAATTTGTGAGCTGTAAATGTTCAATTTTTCTGAATATTGGATATATTTTTGGACTTGTACTGTACATAACACAAAAAATTGGACAAAATGGTAGGGTGGGATTTTTTGAATGCGACAAACATTAAAAAGAACAAATAGGGAAATTTATTGTGGTCTGTGGCCAGATTGACCATGTCATAATTTAATGCATCATAAAACATGTCATGTGACCTTTACCTAATATGTTACATGGTCACCCTCTTCAAGGAATACCTATTTATTTCAAAACTTTTGGCACTGAGGTAAGTTCACTCAATAAGCCTGTTTTACACATACAATATGGTACTGGTCATTTAGTTGTCCAAAACAATTTTATACGTGTGTATTTGGCATTTCAAGCTTTGGGCACAAGGCTTACCTGAATGAAATTTATTCCAGAAAAAAAGCGATAAGCACTTCATACTAGGTACAGGCATATATTCACTACCTACCTTTCTTACTTGGAGTATTAATTTCACCAAACTCTCCTTCTGATTCACTGTCTTCTTCATATCTTATTGGCCTTTTCACTTGTCTAAATACAGATTCAACTCTGATTAATATTTGATTACATCTTTGAAATTAAATACTTTATATTCAGTGGAAATAAAAGTGAAATTCAAAATTTGCCTCTTTAGGTGGTTTCCCGTTTTTTGTAGTGTCTTCCACAGGTACAATGTAAAAATAAGAAGATGTGGTACAATTGCCAATGAGACAACTCTCCACAAGTGACCAAATGACACAGAAATTAACAACTATAGGTCACTGTACGGCCTTCAACAATGAGCTTTCAATGAGCAAAGCTCATACCGCATAGTCAGCTATATAAAGCCCCGAAATGACAAATATAAAACAATTCAAACGAGGGAAAACTAACGACCTAATTTATATACAAAATAATGAACGAAAAACAAATATGTTAAACAGCAACAAACGACAACCACTGACTTGGGACAGGCACATGAATGTGGCAGGGTTAAACTAGTTTGAAGGCTCTATCCCCCTTAACCTGGGATGTATGTTTACAGGGAACAGCCCTTAATGCATGTTATAAATCATAAACTAAAGAGTAATATACATTTACACTAATATAAAAATCCATAGCACATGGTAAAGATGGTATTGCTTCTTGCTTTACAATAATTATCTTTTTCTCAATACACCACTCTTTTTCTGGAAACAAGAGTTTTATACTAAGCACTGATGATTCAATACAGACAAAAAAATAAGAAAGACTTGTATACAACATCTTTAAAACTTAACTGACCTTTAGAAATTTGAAATAGCCAAACAGACTAAATGTACCTGATAAGAGTGTCAACTAGCCAAAGGCTGGTTCTACTGGCCTTTGGATAGCAAATAAATATTTTATCCGGCAACTTCTAGTTCTGCTAATCAAACAATTCCTAATTTTTTTGGAGGCTTTCCAGATTTTTTTTTCACTATTCAAGCCAAAATGTATTGTAAGCAGAACCTTGATAAATCTTCTTTCAAATTAAAAATAAACCTTTCCTATGTTTTTAGATCAATAATTTTAATAAAAAAAACATTTCAATTGCTCGAATATTTAACATACAAACCTTCTTGGTCGTCTGGAATTTTGACATGGTGATGAATTTTCTTTAGTGTCCTGAATATCTGGTTTAAAGTCTGGATCCTCTTTCTTTAACATACAAGCAGCATCTCCCTCACATGTTACTGAGTAAATAAGACTTGTAAGCTTTACATATAATAACAGTGACCTGAGCTAAAGTATTGAATGTAGCAAACTAATAAAGTTGAAAAAAACATTTCCATATAGAGAAATAATAGATGATTCAAATCATTATATCCCTACAGTCAGAAGTAAGAATTTTTCTGGTCAATTCTAATTCATTTTATCAAATACAAAAATGTAAGTCTGAAATGTAACAACTCAGCAGAGAATTTACACACGAATAGTTTTCGCAAACTCACATTCTAAATTTTAAAGCATTATTTCTTGAAATCACAACATTAATGTCAATTGTTTAACAACCACAATAATTATTAACCATTTATGTCAATTGTTTGACAACCACAATAATTATCCACCATTTATGTCAATTGTTTAACAATCGCAATAATAAATGCACACAAAATTTCTGTATTTACAGTATATCAGATTTCAACTAATCTGATCAACCAACATGGAGATGTTCAGGCAATGTTGGTATCTATGATGAGCTTATTTGTATAAATATATCTTTTATAAGTGATTTTTAAGATATAAAATGACAAAAGTTCAACAGAAGCATTATCTGATTGTAAGTATTGATTACCCCTATTTTAATTGAGCCAGCCTCCATGGTTTTATTTAATCTACATACCTTCCTCTAGATCGTATTCTTCTTCAGAATTAGTATCAGTGCTTTCTTCATCCTCTGGAAGGTTGGAATCCAAACTTAATCCTAGCACTTTTTTTCTAGATACAGTTTTGTTAATATGCCCATTTTTAAATGGTGAATTTGAAGATTCACTAGTAAAATTCAATTTCAATTTCTTGAAAGGTTGAATACCTTTTTTAACATCTTGCATCATCTGAAAAATAAATCATGCCTAGTTTTAATAATTATTGCAGCTCCTTAAATAAATTTGAGATGTTTTTCACTTGACCAGTCAGTACAAATACTGTTTGTTATTCATTAACATAACAGTTATTTTAAAGACTGGTCAGCATATTTTCCAGATACTCATTTAAGAAGCAATTTTTACAAGACAACTAGATGTGTCAGTACTACAGGAATGCCTTCGCTAGCAGTCATCCAACAAGAACAAATGACCAACTCCATCTGTAATTTTTTCATTATACACCAAAATGTACCAAAAATCAGATTGAGATTTATAGGTATAAATTTCAAACTAGAGGCTCCCAAGAGCCTGAATTGCACACATTGCAAAAATATACCATTTTGATCAATAATTTCCCCTTTATTGCAACCAATTAAGTTTGCTTATTTGCAGATCTTAATCTAGATGGTAATTTTTGCTGTTGTCTCTCAACCTAATAAATTTTTACAAAAATGCAAAAAAATGGGTAACAATTGTCATTTAAGGGTAATAACTCCTACAAGGAGCCGATTGACAATTTCAATCATGTTTACTTATTTGAGGATCTTGTCTTGCTCGTCATTTCTGGTGCTAACGAATGTATTATAGATTTCAAGATAAATACATAAAATGCAAATAAGGGTAAAAATCCTCACTTAAAGGCAATAACTCCTAAAAAAGTCATTGTTTGATATTTTCCTTTATTTAATTTATTTGTGAATCATATCTTGCTGAACATTTGTTATGTTTACAATTTGGAATAGCCAAACAGGGATAAAATTCATCATTAAGTTAAGGAAATAACTCTATAAGGAGTTGATTGACAATTTTGCTGAACATACCTTACTTGTTAATCTTTTCGTGCTGATCATTTTTGCTCTTACCAGTTTCTCTTGCTGTCTACCATAGTTTAAAGACAATAGCCAAAAATGCAAAATTTGTAATTCAAGGGCAATAACTCCTTTGAGATTGACTATTTCGGTTATGTTGACTTACTTTGCTGATTATTTTCACTGCTTTCATCTTCTCTCTATCTTTTATATAATTTACAGTTTTCAAGATAATTGCCAAAAACTCGGGAAAAGGGTAGACTTTTTTAGATAGACAAACATATTTATGACCTATTAATCATAGGAACTGAGGAACAACTTGACCTCATTACTAAAGCCGAGGACAAATAAGGACAAGATCTTATGAATTGTAACAAAAGAAATGACATTCCAGTTTTTTATATGAAGTTACTCAGGAACATACCTTATTCTGAAAATTTAACATTAACATCACTTTGCTATTGAAGAATGAACATGAAATCAGGGTCAGATGACAGTTACTGTCAGATAAGTTCTCAATATAATAACCTCAATATACATTTCTTGGTTAACCTTGGTGAAAATATAAAATGTCTAAAATACAACAACTTAAAACATCTGCACTACAAAGAGATAACCAAGTCTCATTTTTTATGATGCAATTGAGACTACCATTCTTGGAATACAATACCTGCTGTTTTTTAAGAATACTTAGTTGTTTGGATTTTCTGATTTGACCAAACACTGGTACTGCTAAGGGTTTGTTATCTTTGAAGTTTGTCACTATAAGAGCAATCATTTCTAAAGTTTTCCCAAGGCCCATATCATCTGCTAGGATACCTGAAATTATAATCATACATTACTTTTCTTTCTTTATTTTCTCTTTATTATTATCAATGAAATCTTATCAAGTTTGTAAATTATGAATAATTTCAAAATTCTGGTTCTTATATGGTTTACCAAAATGAAAAGTAGTGTGTTTAATTCTAAGATATTTTCAGTTTTAAGTCATTAAAAATCATTTCAATTTTAAACTGTTACATTCAATAAATCAATTTTGAAACAATTTTAGATATACAGTAAGGAATTTCATTAAGTAAATGCAGTGAAACTGTCATGTACAACTTCAATGAGCTGTGGAGCTAGTTGATTTTGAATTCGACAGCTTGAAAAAAGGACCCCAACTTTCAAGTCAACTCAAAATAAATAACCAAATTTGTGTGAAAAAATTTCCGGATCTTTGCCTTGGTCTGCACACCTTTTTGGCCACAGGAATTCAAGATAAAAATTCTTTTTCACTTGTTGAAAATGTCTAGTGAAACTTTAGTAATTTCAAATCGTTTATGATCGTTGCTTGTACCTAGTTTTTCATCATCAAGTAGAAGTTGAAAATACTGGTAAATGATTTTTTGATCACTTCACGAGTGTTAATATAAGCCAAAATCACCAAAAAGCAATTGGTAAAGTTGTGCTTGTCATTAACTGGAAATAGAAAGTGTGTAAATCGCAAACAAATACAGTGAGAGCGAGCTGCAAATTCATACTTAATAGATATGATATAGAATACAACTTTGAAAGTAAAAAAAACTGCCGTCCTTTTAGTAAAATACTGTTAAATTAGCTTAAACAAAACACATGCAGCGGTATGAAAAACCAAATCTGAATGAATAACCAGTTATGTTTGGTAGTTTAAACATGATTCCAATCTGACTACTACACTTTGTTCATATGCTTAAATCAGGCACTATTTTTTTCTTGAATTGTTTCACATTTTGTTTTTCTTTAGTTTTTTATAGCTTACTATACGGAATGGGTTTTGCTCATTAGTGAAGGCCAACCAGCAACCTGTCAGCGATTACATCCTTGTCATTTGATGGATAGTTCGTCTCACTGGCAATCATTCCATATCTCCTTATTTCTATAAACATATTAAGAAATTTCAATCAACTGTTACGGTCACATTCTTATCTGTACGTATCTTATAAAAAAGTAATACATGTTTGTCAAACTTTCTTATTTAGTAAATTAATTACCTCCTCTGACACTTTTTGGTTTTTGATTTGTTGTGAATATTGTAACTGAATTAAAATATCTCCCATTTTTCTCTTCCCAAAAAGGTGGAAGGTGTGATCCCTTTTCCCTCTCTATCATCCATGATAATGCTTGTTTTTGATGGGTATACATAGAAGTTCCTATTGCCTAAAGAAATAAAGTACTTGCATTAATTAAAATAAATAAATTAATATACAAATTTATACAAATACAGTTATTTGTAGAAACCTAAATATGCAAGTGTCATAATTCAAGCTAAAATAGTAATTTCAATGGTTGCAAATTAAGTTATTACGTTAACAGCTTTAGTCATGACAGTGTATAATGCTACCTGTTAAGGCTTATTGATCTTTTTAAATAAATATGTTTCATGTGACTCCTATGTAAAATGAAACATCATTCTTCTTTCGTTAAGAAAATTTTTCAATACTAGATTTTTATCTTTTTGATAATAAAAGTCAACTTCTATACCTTTGACATGCAGTATTTACTACTTGCACAGTGTTACACACTGAGGGATAATAAATCAACAGTGCTTCATATAAACATGAAAAAAACTATTTCAAACTTTATTAAAACAATACATGTGAATAAAGAATAACAAGAGTGCACATGCTGAAATGTCTCGCATTCTTTACTTACCATTGATTTTAGGTTGATAGTCCTAAATATAAAGCTTTACTACCACAAAAACTTAACATGATCCAAGAAAATGAGGTCAAAGTCAGATAAACCAAACTAGAAATACATGTACACCTTACAATCATTCCATACACCAAATATGCTTTAAATATAATTGACCTATTGCACAAAGTATCTAAGAAACAAACTAAACCATGAAAATTTAACATTGATCAATGAACCATGAAAATGAGGTCAAGGTCAGATGAACCCCGCCAGACAGACATGTACACCTTATAATCATTACATGCTTTAAATATAGTTGACCTATTGCATATAGTTTCTAAGAAACAAACTTAACCAGGAAAACTTAAGATTGACCAATGAAACATGAAAATGAGGTCATGGTCAGATGACAATTGCCAGACAGACATATACACCTAACATTCATTCCATACACCAAATATCGTTGACCTATTGCTTATAGTATAAGAAAATCAGATAAAAAAACAAAAACTAAACATTGAGCAATGAACTGTAAAAATGAGGTCAAGGTCAAATGAAACATGCCAGACTGACATGGAAATTGTAAAATATTTTCGTACACCAAATATAGTTGACCTATTGCATACAGTATAAGAAAAACAGACCAAAACACAATAAACTGTTATCACAGAGATATGTCTCGCCTTTTTGTAATTTTGATAATGCAAATGTTGAAATTAAAATAACAATACTTTAACATGTAAGTTATGCAAATATTCAAAGTCGATGAACCATGACTCAAGGTACATGGCTAAACAATCTCCATGAAATGAGATGTGCCAATGCTAATACAACTGCATACCAAATACCATTGACTTTTCATAAGTCGTTCCCTTTAAACAAACCTAAACACAAACATTAACTTGTAAACTATGTAAAAGTTTCAAAGTCAACGAACCATGATCAGGGGTGGGGCTGTATAATCTCCATGGAAACGATACTTGCAAATGCCAAAAAATTTGCATACCAAATATCATTGACTTAACATTAGCAGTTCATCTTAAACTGATCTAATCACAAACTAATACATGTAAACTAAGCAAAAGTTTCAAAGTAGATAGACCATGACTGAGGGGGCGGGGCCAAATATTCTCCATGGAAATGAGATGTACTAATGCTTATACAACTGAACACCAATTAACATTGGCCTACCACTAATGGTTCCCCTTGAACTGACCTAATCACAAACTAATGCATGTTAACTTAGCAAAATTTTCAAAGTCTATAGACCATGACTAAGGGGGCAGAGCCAAATAATCTCCATGGAAATGAGATATGCCAATGCTTATACAACTGCATACCAAATATCATTGACCTACCACTAGTGGTTCCCCATAAATTGACCTAATCACAAACTAATACATGTAAACTATGAAAAGTTTCAAAGTCAATAGACCTTGACTGAGGGAGCGGGGCCAAATAATCTCCATGCTAATGAGATGTGCCAATGCTAATACAACTGCATACCAAATATCATTGACTTACCACTAGTGGTTCACCATGAACTAGACCTTATCACAAACTAATACATTGTTGACGCCGTCGCCGGAAACAGCATACCTATGTCTAGCTTTTCGACTCCGTCAAGGCGAGACAAAAACTCAACTTAATCCACTGAACCATGAAAATGAGGTCAAGGTCACAACACCTGCCAGTTGGACATGTACACCTTACAATCATTCCATACACCAAATATATTAGACCTATTGCTTATAGTATCTGAGATATGGACTTGACCACGAAAACTTAACCTTGTTCACTGATCCATGAAATGAGGTCGAGGTCAAGTGAAAACTGTCTGACAGGCATGAGGACCTTGCATGGTACGCACATACCAAATATAGTTATCCTATTACTCATAATAAGAGAATACTAAAAAAGTAGTCACTGAACCATGAAAATGAGGTTAAGGACAATGGACATATGACAGTCGGAAACTTCATAACATAAGGCATCTATATACAAAGTATGAAGGATCCAGGTCTTCTACCTTCCAAAATATTAAGCTTTTAAGAAGTATGCTAACGCCGCTGCTGGATCATATTCCAATGTCGAGCTTTTTGCGACAGAAGTCACAGGCTCGACAAAAACTAGATATGAATATGAAATAAAAATGCATGGAAGTACGAAACCGTCAGATTTTAACTTATAAAGCATATCTAGATGGTGATTTTTCTATGCAATTAACTGAAAGGCCAATTGTCAGGCTTTGCAAAGAACAGGATTTTCTAACATTGGATAAATCAGAAATAGTTTTGTGCATGATAAAATTATGCAATTAAGCAGTATGGGATTAAGTGGAGTCGACTGTATCAGTCTGCATTTGATATAATACAAGGATTTCATTGGTCAACATTTTAAACAGTCAATATCTGTATCATGCAAATATTTTCATGCCTTAGCTTGCATTATCAAATTTCAATAGAAAGAGATTTAGAAAATAAGAATAACTGTATCAAACTTCTACTAAAAGTTATTCAGGGCTATTCCATTAAAATGTGTGTGGGAGGGTAGGAAGGGAAGTTTAATTATTGAATGTGGGTCATTGGTCTTTTTTCAGTATGCATCTATTACCATTATGCAAAATTATCTAAAAAATGGTTCTTGGTTGTAGGGATATTTTGAAAGTCCCTTCCTACAAAAATGTCCTACCCTCCCCTATACATTTAAATGGAATAGCCCTCATGATGTCACAGTCATGAATGCACTTTAAGAACACCACTTGGATTCCTAAAAAAAGTTTTATCTAAAAATACCTTTGCTGGATCAGAAGTATTAGTTTTGTCACCTTCACATAGATTTTCAAACAACCTGTCCAATTCATTCTTTACCTGAAACAATTCAAATGTTGTCTAAAATAAAATAATATATAAACATGGATTTTTCAAGTTATTTTGGGAAATGACATTTTACTTCAAATTGGAAATCTTTTTCAACTAAACAGTCACTCTTGGGAAATTGTTCAGTATCATTAACTCCATAAAATATTGTCATCCCATTCTAGACAAAAGTTTTATTAATGTTATTTATTATATTGATTTCATAGTTTTATATCAACCCCTGTGAAGGCTAACTATCACATCTTTATTTGGGATTGAACCATACAACACTCACTTCACATGACATGTATTTCTGAAATAATGCCACTATTCAGATACTCTTCTAGACCAAAAGTATTGGAAGACATGGAAGTCATATACACACAAATGAAAAATGTATGAAAGCATCAAATCCAAGAGCATGTTACAATACAAAACAAGACTACCTTTGGCCAGGGTTTTTTAATTTGCTATTGGAACAGATTTTTACTGTGTAAAATTTTAGTTGGACTGTTTTTTTATTATTATTATAAAACACAAATATGCATTGCTTTACTCTGTCTTTCAATTTTATTACACTGGTTCTGGGTTTTTTTGCCACTATTGTGTGCAAGACTTAAGTTCTGTTTTAGAAAAAAAAAATATCAGCTTTTTCAAACAGTTAGAGACAAAACAGAGTGGTCTCAACGGAAAGACTGTATACCTGTCGTATTGGGTTCTGTGATATCGGTTCTTTTTGTCATCACCACTCATTATTAAAGGAAGAACAGTTGTCATGCAACCTTGGATAAGACAGGAAATCTCCAATTGTTTGGTCACCTTATGTAACATCAACTAACTGCCCTTATGGACGGATCCATTTTGTCCATGAAAATGACAGACATATGTTTGAAAATAAGGGTTATTGCTTTCTCATAAATGCTGCATGCTTAATTGAAAATCAGATAATAATGATTTTATAGTCTGGTTATAGTCAGAGAAAAAAACAAGGAAACCAATGCATTGAAATATAAAGCTACGATTTCGACAAAAAATTACAAAAGTTTTTGTTGTTGGTTAAAACATTCATAAAAGTGGAATTGTAAAATAACATTTCGTAATTAGCAGTCAGTTTGGTTCAATTTTGCCAAAATAAGCTCAAAATCATCAATGTATATTATTGACTTGCAAGTCAATAATTCAACCTAATCTTGATATGTATTCATGTGACCGTCAGTTTAACTCTTAGATTGAGATAGGTTACATATGTGTGTCGCATATTCAGTTATAATGTCAACATTGAAAAGGAAAACAAAGGAGCTATCTGGAAGAATATAAATATGAGAATTGAGTCAAATCAGTGAACATGAATTTGACAGTTCATGCTCCATTAAGGCAGAAATTCTTAATTGATCAAACTGTATATGCTAACTGGTAATATTTTGCCAAACTGACCACACAAAATTTGTTTAGTAGACAAACAGACCAAAGTGCAATAAAATGTATTCAAAATCCAGATCAAAACAGAATCGGAATTAGAGTTAAAATAATGTAAAACATAACAAGAGAAAAAAGGATATGTAAAATCTATGGAAAATAATATCTCCCTAAATTAGTAATTCCCTTTGCCAGATATCTTATTTATTCTTAAGTTTTGGCTGATGTATTCTTTTTTAATAAATTTGTTTTCACCACTTCTAACGCAGTGCTTACTTCAGCAGGTGACAAGAAAGTCCTTTTAGGAGCAAGATATCCCATACTGGAAGATGCAGATGGTATTGACTCCTGGTATGTAGGAGTATAACCTGTAAACCCATGTAATCTCAATTTGGTCATTACTGTTTCCTGGTTCTCTTGTCTGCCCCATAATGATATATCTATGGGCATTGAATACGCATTTGTTGCTCCAAAAGGGACAACCCTGAAAAAGTTGACAGACATTTTAGGATATTTACCTTCTCTCCTATCCACCTTTTTCAATATTTTGTAATTCATCAGATATTTTCTTCAAATCTATTTCTAGTAATCCAGTATCAATAATTTGAATAAGAAATGAGAAGAGAGAGTTAGGATTAATATATAGTTTAAGTTTAAATTTTTGAGTCTAAGGTACAGTTAGTGGTGCTTCATTCCACATACAATTATATAGTAGTAGTGAGTGTGTAATTTGATGCTAATTTTAACTGTCGTCCATCCAAATGAGGGGGCAGATTGGGATAAAGGATCTGCATCTAAAGTTAACATTGCTCTATTTTGTAGTGAACCCTTTATTTTTACATTCTCCAAAAACAATACAGCAGTAGTCAATGAGGGGGAGAATGTAACCATGTTATTATATAATATCTATAGTTTGAAGCAACACTAAATGTTCTTTTGTTTTCAGCATTGAAATTCTGTAGTTTGTTCAGGTCATTGCACAAGATAACGTCTTCCTATACTGTGTAATGTGTGGCTGTAAGAAAGATTTACAAGTACAACTAGTGTTATTAGAGTTTAGAACAGCATCATTCCATATCAACAAATTAGAACTAGTTTCAGTACCTGGAAGCATTGTTGATATGGTATGATATTGTTTATTATTAATTATATAGTTATTTAAGAATTAAGTCCTTTTCTTGTCCTGATCTTAATTGTATGTACCGGTATGTTCTTTTGTGTACCTTTTGTTAGTCAATTGATTGATGATAAAAATGAGCAAGTGTTGAGATCTGAAACTAGAGCTCCCCAAAAGACTGAATTGCTCACCTGGTGGAATTACGCAACATTAAATCATTAGTAGTGAGCATGGCAAAGATACATGAACCTGCAATGGGAGTATACCCCGACCTCTAAAAATTAAGCTCAAATTTAAAACCATTTCCTACATTCTGACAAATGTTTGAGTGATTTTTTGCAGATACTGAAGACATTAATTAAAGTATCATTACATCTGTAACTCCTGTTGAAACAATACTTCAACACAACAAAACTGAAAGCAATAATTTTTTCCTGCACTTGATCATGTGCTCTCCCCCTTTTTGAAGATGTTAAACATTGCCTTAAAGAAAGATAAGATCCTTTGAACTACTGCATGTATTTGGTCTCTTTTTGTTTTACATGTTGTCTTTTCGATCATGTTTCAAAGCTATAAATTTATTTCCATTGTCTTTATCAAGAGTGTCTGCTTGGCCCAAAGACATTCTCGAAACCAGATGCTGAGCCCTCGTCTTGCTTGGCCTGAAGACATTCCTGACATTGGATGTTAAGCCTTCGTCAGTAAAATGCTTAAAGTTAGTTTAATTTCAAAAATATTAGTGTCCTTTAACCCTGAAGAATTAAATTTGAGACTGATATCGCAAAACAAAAAAACCATTTTTTTCCAGATTGGCAATAAACCTTAAGATTTTTTACAGTAACCATCCCTTATGCATATTTAATCTGCTAATTCAGTATGAAATATGGAAAATCTGTTCAAGTAAACAGCTCTGTATCTCTTAGTTTAGAATATAAAGACCAAATATGTAAACTTAGAGGCTCCTTATAGAGGCTCTAAAGATCCTGTGTCGCTCATCTATGTCTATGTGCATCTTCAACAATTGACACTCTCAAACATTGTAGACTAGAATAAAATTCATGACAAAAATCTCTTCCTTGATGATATTTTATAATTGCTGATAATTTTTTCTGGTTATAGTTTCTCGCTATCTTTTTTAGTTTTAGCCCAAAACACAAAGGGTAAAAAAGAATTTGTCATTTAAGGGTCTAATGTTTCAGAAAAAATTTGACTTGTTTGTAGATCTTCTCTTGATGATCATTTTTTTGTTTGTTATTTAAGTTTCTATCTATCTTTTATAGTTTCGAATATAATAGGCAACAACGCCAAAAAATTGGTAAAATTCGTCATTAAAGAGCAAGAAATCCAATAATTTAAGGAAACAACTCCTATTAGAAGTAGTCTGACAGTTTTGTCGGAAATGGACAAAAGATCAACATGCTGAAAATTCCTGCCCCTGTCAGATTCTCTCTATTTATAGCTGTTTTCAAAATAATATTTATGTTCTATTTTTAGCCATAGACACATTTTTTAAACTAAATACCCTGATTATGATTGTGGCCAAGTTTGATTAAATTTGGCCCAGTAGTTTCAGAGAAGATTTATATAAAAGTAATCAGACGACGAAGGACGCCAAGTGAAGAGCAGTGGCGTAGCTAAGCCATTTTTAAGTGTACGCCCGAACCTCGGCGAGGGGTTTGAGGGTCCCCAGCGGGCACAAGGCAAGGGAACTCCCAGCAGGGGTCCGACGGAAGCTAACGATTTATTAAGAGAGAGATACTATTTCTGTCATTAAAACTCATCAATAGCAACATACTAGTACTTTCAAGTCTAATTTCTTGATTTTTTCATGTATAATTTATTCAGTGTGTTGATTTGGAATCTAATGACCAATAGTTGTTACTATGAAATATGTTTAAAAGGAGATGTGGGGTAAAACAATCAATCGACCAAAGATCCAAACCTTTCGAAATATAAAAAAAGCAAGTCTTCATTTTCAATGGTGTTGTTCTTTTGATTATTATGACTTAATCTAGTTTTCTCCCATTTTAAGCGCAAATTTCGTTAATGGACAAGTACATACAATAATAAATCTTCATAGATGGTCATGTGTGATATAAACATACTCAAAGGGTTCTGTGGAATCCTGTGTTTTGCTTGGGATTGCTGCTGTCGGTTAAACTATAAAAAGTGAATCCATTTATCAGTCAAATACATGATTTAAAAGAAATCAAACTTTTCTTTAAATGTTTTTCTTGATCTTGGAAGATAAGCTTCTGTCCAAGTTTCATAACAATCTATGAAAGTTTACAAATGTAGCAGGTGAAAAATATCTAATTCAAAACCGTCTGCTAATTGCCCCAAAAAATGGTAAGATACTGAAAAATGAAAAAAAAAAAAAAAAATATTTTTTAGACAGAAATTTGCTGATTGTTGTAAAAGTTTTGAAATCATTTAAAAATAAAGGAATATATCTCCCCCATGAAAAGCTCTGATTCTTTGTCCGGAATTAGCTATAATACTTTATGGATTTTCAAATATTTCGGCCTCGAGCATCACTGATGAGACATTAATTGTCGAAATGCGCATCTGGTGCAAAAAAAAATCGTACAGATGGTGTTAACATTTTTACATAAAATTCGATGAAGTTTTGACAAAGTATTTGATGCGTAACAAACAGTATCTACTTGTTAACTAATAAAAACAATGTTCTTTTGAGTAAAATGCGGAAAAATTAAAAGTAAATTTTCATAATTATGCTCTAGATACTCTTTTGACCATAAAAAAGTTTCTGCCTATATTCTGTAAAATTTCATAAAGGTTTTACAAATTCATTGATGTTTTAAAAAAAATTTAACCACAGGCTGAACATAAATATTGACGACGCCAACGCCGATTACAGAATGTCTCGCAGGCTCGACAAAACTGCATATCGTATCTCAGCAGATGATGAATTGCTTTAAACTATAGGAAAGGGAGAATCATTCACAGTAGATTCAGATTTTGACAGAAAACGAACAAATAAATAATATGATACCATTTGAACAAAAAGTAAATTTCTTCCGACTGTTATCTTCAATTACAAGTCAGTGGAGAAAGAACTACAAGGCTCATGTGCTTTTAGCCAGATCTTTTAATTTATTTAGATTAAAATATTTTTTCTCCAGAATTCATGTGTACGCCCGGGCGTTTTGACGTAAACGTAGCTACGCGCCTGAAGAGAAAAGCTCAGTTGTCCCTATAGTCCAGGTAAGCTAAAAATAGTCATTTAACTGCAATAACTTTTGTCGAGTTTTGTTCAAAATGAGCAGGAGATAGATCTCAAAGCGTTGAACCAAACATTCTCTCTCATCTATTAAAGCTTTTAAAGATTACTTGCTTTATACATTGGTCTCACTAGATTGTGACAAAGTTTTATTCCAATTGGTCGAGTAGATTTTTTAAAAAGTTTTTCAACAGAGGACAAGTGAAGGGAATAATAGCTCACAATCCCACTAGTGGCATAAACACTAGGTAAATAGCACTTATCAATTCAGCTAAACTACATACCCTTCAGGTCTAGCCAGATTCCTATCAATAATTTCTGCCAATGGTTTAGCCAGTTCTCTTTTGATATGGCCAACTTGTATACGGTCTACATTAGTTACTTTAATGGCATTCCTGTCATACTTGTTGTGTGCCTCCCTTTCTAAAGCAACCATCTCATTGTTGTTTACCTACCAAAAAATAACACTCATTTCACTTTGGTCCCTTATTTCACTTACAAGGGAATAGATTTTATATTAAAAGCCAAAACAAAATAAATCTATACAATGAGTAAGTAAAACATGATAAAACATAATACCACACTTTTACAAGTAAAGAACCTTAGTTAGTAAGCTCACAATACCCCAGGGTTTAAATTTGCTTTAAACAATGAAAGATCTAGGTCCATTTGAATTTTCAAGAGAAAAGTCCATCTCAAGAAAGTCGACAGCCCTGTATAAAGCATCGGTTAAATTAACGGGAAGTCCCCGACTTCTGTAATTCAAAAATGAAAAGTCCCCCTCCTAGACGGTAGGCCCCTTCATTATTGTTTTTTATTTACTTGTCCATTCAGGCAAGTTGCAAGAAAATGAACTTGACCCACTCGATTGCCAAAATAAAAATTTGTAAGGGTTCCGCGGAACCAAGTGTCTCGCCTACTTTTTCTGTTAATCGCAGGCTCAACAAAAATGGAAGTAAATCAATAAAAATATTCCTCTTGATACTATCTTTTGATTGTAAGAAGCTTCTGTCCAAATTTGGTAAAAATCCAGGATAGTTTATGAATCTAATAAATGTTTAAAAACTTTAACTGCAGACTGAATGTAATGTTAACTGGAAGAAAACAAAATTTCCTTCTAGATACTAGCATTTGATCATAAACAAGCTTCTGTCCAAGTTTGGTACAAATCCAAAATAGTATAAGAAAGTTATTAAAATTTTAAAAACGTTCACCACAGAGTGAATATGTTGTTTCCTGGCAGAAAATCTAAGTCCATTTAAAAGTAAAATAAGGAAAAAAAGGATTTATTTTTTTACACAATTTATTCTAGATACTAGCTTTTGATCATAAACAAGCTTCTGTCCAAGTTTGGTACAAATCCAAAATAGTATAAGAAAGTTATTAAAATTTTAAAAACTTTAACCACAGAGTGAATGTGTTGTTTCCTGGCAGAAAATCTAAGTCCATTTAAAAGTAAAATAAGGAAAAAAAGGATTTATTTTTTTACACAATTTATTCTAGATACTATCTTAGGATCATAAACAAGCTTCAGTCCAAGTTTGGTACAAACCCAGGATAGTTTAAGAAAGTTATTAAAATTTTAAAAACTTTAACCACAGAGTGAATGTAATATTTCCCGGCAGAAAAACAAAGTCCATTTATAAGTAAAATACGGAAAAAATGGAATTTCATTTTTTACAAAATTTACTTCTGGATATTATCTTATGATCATAAACAAGCTTCTGTCCAAGTTTGGTAGAAATCCAGGATAGTTTAAGAAAGTTATTAAAATTTCAAAAACTTTAACCACAGAGTGAATATTTGTTGACGCCGCCGCTGCCGACGACGACGGAATGTAGGATCGCTATGTCTCGCTTTTTCAACTAAAGTCGAAGGCTCGACAAAAAGTGCATAATCTTTTAAATTAAACAATGCTGTCCTTACCTTGACAAATTTATTAGATCATGTGTCAACTTTGGACTTCAAGTGTACCTGATGTCACTTTGTAAGTTTATTCCTTGCAATATCCTCTTTGATGTTTCATTGACATACAATTCAGTGTTCGTGTTAAGGCAGAAACATGCCTCCTAGACGAATGATATTCTGTCATTTTCTTTCACCTGTCCCACTCCCAGCCAATCAGACAAAAGGTAATGTCATGCTCTAGACAAGTTCCTGACCTCCGACCCACACTAATTTGAACCCCTGAATATCCCTTGCCATAAGCTGATTTCTGGAAAGCAACAGCTTAGTGGTAGAATGACAAAGCTGTCCTACCAAAAAGATAATAAGGATTCAGTCCTTTCATGTATAAATGTCAAGATATATAGCATGCTAAAAGTTTTTTTCTATTTCAAAACAGTGTAAAATAGAGATCTTTCTGTCATTTTATGGTAATTTCCTAATGTTTTTTAATTTCTAGAAACTGTGATCTTGACCTTGGGTGTATTGAGGTAACAAGAGTGCACACACTGAGATGTTGGGCCAGCTTTACTGATTGAATTAATGTTAAAAGTCTTTAAGATCCAAGATTTACTCTAGGTATCACATAAACTTATCATTATCAATGTTCCATGAAATGGGATCATGGTCAGATGAACCCTGCCAGTGGACATGTACACCTTAAAATCATTCCATAAACCAAATATACTTGCCCAATTGCTTGTCGTACACAATAAACATACATCACCAAGAAAACAAAACACTGACCAATAAACCATGAAAATGAAGGCAAGGTCAAGTGAACCCTGCAAGACAGACATGTACACCTTACAATCGTTCCATACACCAAATATAGTTTCCAACAATTACGTTAAGTTTCCCCAAAATAATCAAAACAAACTCAAGTTCCACATGGTACAATATGTGAAAAATTTAGTAAAGTCTGACAAGTAAGAGTCCCATAACTCTGGAGCGACAAACCGGAAATTCAAAATATTAATAGGGAGCTTCCTTTAATGAATCCCCACTATAATATAAAGTTTGGAGGAAATCAATGCAGGTATACTGGAGTTAGTGCACGATTTGCGAAAAATTGCCTTAAATGTAAAAGTTAAGGTCCGTAACTCTGGAGCAACAATCAGAAAATTAAAAAATAATTGTGAGGGAGATTCCTATTATCAATCCCCAAAATAATGTAAAGTTTTGATGAAATCAATTTAGAAATACTGGGAAGTGAAAAATAGCCTTAAAACTAAGGGTCAAAGGTCCACACCTATGGAGTGACCTATATATATTCAAAACTATTAAAAATCGAAAGAAAGCTTTCTTCCATCAATTATAATTTTGTGTTAAAGTTATATGAGAATTGGTTAAAGCAAACTTGAGTTATCATACGAAGTGTTGACAGACAGACAGACGAATATTGGTATACCATAATACATCCCATCTTTGACGGACATTTAATAATTGCTTATACACTACAATTCAGCTGAAGATTAAATCATTCTTTTACATAAAAAGCAAGAAATGATTGACAAAACTTACCCTAGTTCTTTGAGACGGAATGACGGACAGAATCAAGCGGTTACTGACTTGCTTTTCGGATTGTTTTGAAATTTTCCTTTTTTTTATTTTGGTGTTGTTGAACACTTTTTAAACGTATTTTTATTTTATTTATTATGTTCAGTATTGTTTTTCATAATGATTCAAAGCCCTTGTAAGAAAGATCATTAAGTATTATCTAGATGTTTTATATTTACGTCTGAATATGTGACAACATTACGACAGATGTTCTCCTTCGTTGCGCTAAATTTCAGACGAACTGTATATATATATCAACGCAATCATAGGTTTGAACGTTGTTTTCAATTTAGACTTGTTTATATATATATTGTGATGACTTACAGTACCCCTATAGTATTGGATTCCAACTATGTTTCCTCGGATACTTCCAAGTAAAACTTCATCATCCAAGTCATCATGACCCATTTCATCAAGGTCAATAATAGGTGTTGCAACCTGAGGAGTTCCTATTCCACTCCAACTTGAACTCCCCACTCCACCATAACTCATAAATCCTTCACAACTCCCAATATCACCATAGTTCATATAACTTGAACCGCTCATCCGAAATGATGGTCCTGATTCTAGCATCCATCTCTTTCTTTGTCTTGGCTTCTTTTTCTTTGCCTGACATATTAAAAAATTGATATGACGCGATATGTTCTTAAATTCCCATACAAAACATGTTAAAAAAGTTGGATCGCTAAATAAACTAAGTATGTCAGCAGTGTAAAAATAATTTAACCACTCACTTACAACAGTGGGAGTGACTAATAAATGGGAACTACTTGTCAAGTTATAGTTTCACTTAGCCAACAGTTTAAGGTTATATTGAGCATTATTCCTGGTTTATAGTACTTAATTTGCAACTACAAGTAACTGAAGGATAAATTACACAAATTGGACAGGATTCTGTCTATTGATTCTGTAACAGGAAATTTCTATGTTGTTTTTCAGTCACTTTTGAAATTTTTTTAGCACCAGTTTGAGTGGAATTATCAGTTAAACCTTGATCACACTAAAAGTGTTAAAAATTAACACTTTTTGAAGTTAACGTACTTTTCTAGTATTTGATGAAAATGTTGCCCTTGAGTACTGTGATCCTCCAGTGCTTGCTCTGCTGGTCTGTTTTGTTCTAACCATATTTTTATTCTACAAAAGAAAAATGATAAGTAAATCGATCTGAACTGACTTAATTGTTTAGCAATATTAATTCTAATTTTCCATTTTCTTTGCATTAACATTTTTTCATTTTTAACTACCGTAGAAAGGCTTGTATAGTCCGCGGTTTTATTCTCCAAAATTGGACCTTCCAGAAGGGGTGCGGACTATAGAGTACAATAAGCAAGAAATAAGAGAAAAATTTCAATTTCGCGGGGTAGATATGGAGGATGCCCCCCTCTGCTCTGCCATATGCAAGAGTACAGTTTCACATACTTTAGATTTGACAAACAGTGATGTTGAAGTACAACTTGAAATTGTTGTGCTGTCTGTAGGACACAAATGATGCCCCCGCCTGAACATAAGAAATTATAAATTTAACACTATGTAAGATCCATCTTTCATTTTTATTCCGAGTACAAAAAAAAGTCCAAATACCTGGCATTTTGAGAATATTTGAAAAAAATCAAAACCCTGTGGACATGCTCATTTCCATTATGTGTACAAACAACCTACAAAATATTAAAGCTGTAGCTCAAAAAATTGGTGGAGATTGTCAGACAAAGTTAATCATGTTAACCATAATCTCTTTATGCAGCTAGTACCAAATAAACTGTTAACACAGAGATATGTCTCGCCTATTTGTTATTTTGATAATACAAATGTTGAAATTAAAATAGCAATACTTTAACATGTAAGTTATGCAAATATTTAAGGTCAATGAACCATGACTGAAGGTACAGGGCTAAACAATCTCCATGGAAATGAGATGTGCCAATGCTAATACAACTGCAAAACAAATACCATTGACTTTTCATAAGTCGTTCCCTTTAAACAAACCTAAACACAAACACTAACTTGAAAACTATGTAAAAGTTTCAAAGTCAATGAACCATAATTAGGGGGTGGGGTTATATAATCTCCATGGAAAGGAAACTTGCAAATGCCAATACATTTGCATACCGAATATCATTGACTTAACATTAGTGGTTCATCTTAAACTGACCTAATCACAAACTAATACATGTAAACTAAGTAAAAGTTTTAAAGTCAATAGACCATGACTGAGGGGTAAGGACCAAATATTCTCCATGGAAATGAGTAGTGCTAATGCTTATACAACTGCATACCAATTATCATTGACCTACCACTAACAGTTCCCCATAGACTGACCTAATCACAAACTAATACATGAAAACTAAGCAAAAGTTTCAAAGTCAATAGACCATGAATGAGGGGGGCGGGGCCAAATAATCTCCATGGAAATGAGATATGCCAATGCTTATACAACTGCATACCAAATATCATTAACCTACCACTAGTGGTTCCCCATAAACTGACCTAATCACAAACTAATACATGAAAACTAAGCAAAGATTCAAAGTCAATAGACCTTGACTGAGGGGGCGGGGCCAAATAATCTCCGTGGTAATGAGATGTGCCAATGCTAATACAATGCATACCAAATATCATTGACCTACCACTAGTGGTTCCCCATAAACTGACCTAATTACAAACTAATACATGTAAACTAAGCAAAGTTTCAAAGTCAATAGACCTTGACTGAGGGGGCGAGCCAAACAAACTCCATGGTAATGAGATATGCCAATGCTAATACAACTGCAGACCAAATATCACTGACCTACCACTAGTGCTTCACCATGAACTAGACCTGACCTGACCTAGTCCTTATTATGCCCGGAGGCACATAGGGCAAGGACTAGATCTTTCCACTCATCTCTGTTCTGTGCTTTCTTTTCTATTTCGCCCCAGCTGATTCCATGTTCTTTCATTTCAGCTTCAACTGTTCTTCTCCAAGTTGTTTTGGGGCGTCCTTTCTTTCTTTTCCCCTCAGGTGTCCATCTTAGGGCAACTCTGGTCAAGTCCTCTGCTGGTCTTCTAAGAACATGGCCAATCCATCTCCATCTTTTTTGCGTCAATAAGGTCTCCATGCTGTTGGATCCTGTTGTTTCATGGAGGTCTTTGTTGGTGATCTTACGTGGCCAGAATATCCTTAAGATCTTTCTAAGGCAACTGTTGTGAAAACTGGAGAGCTTGTTGATGTCTTTTTCTGTCATTCTCCAGCATTCAGCCCCATATAGCAGCACTTCTAGTACACAACTGTTATATAGTCTAATTTTGGTGTTCTTACTGATGTTGCTTGACTTCCAGATGTGACTTAGTTTTAAAAATGCAGTTCTTGCTTTTCCTATTCTGGCTCTGATGTCTTTGTCTGCTCCTCCTTCAGATGTTACTATGCTGCCCAAGTAGGTGAAAGATGAAGTGCAATCCAGGTGTGTCCCGTTTAAATCTATTACAGGAGGCTCTGAGATGTTAAGAGGCATGACTTCTGATTTCTTGATGTTGATATGCAATCCAATCATACTTGCATTCTTTTGTAACTTAGTGGTTTTGTCTTGCATGTGTGTTTCTAGATGTGACAGTAAGGCCAGATCATCTGCATAGTCCAGATCTTCTAGGTAGTTAAAGAGAGTCCACCTGATGCCTGTGTTGTTAATGCTTATGGTGGATTTCATTACCCAATCGACAACTATTATGAATAGAAGGGAAGACATAACACAGCCTAGTCTAACTCCCGATTTTACTAGAAAACTGATGTCTGATGAAGTTCCTACAGTGCATCTGAATTCTGTATAAAACATTTTGATAAGTTGTACTATTTTAGCGGGTATTCCATAGCTTCGTAAGATCTTCCATAAGCTTTCTCTGTGTATGCTGTCAAAGGCTTTTTCAAAGTCTATAAAGTTTATTATCAGTTGCCTCTGCCATTCTGTGCACTGTTCTATAATGTTTCGTAGCACAAATATGTGGTCGCAACAACTCTTTCCTTTTCTAAAGCCTGCCTGTTCTTTTCTGAGTTTGTTGTCAATTGCTGTTTTAATTCTATCTATTAATATTTTGCTGAAAATTTTACTTGGGATTGGTAATAAGGTGATTCCTCTCCAGTTATTACAGTTTGTGAGATCGCCTTTCTTAGCCAGTCTTATGATGTTACCTTCTGACCAGTTTTTAGGTATTTTGATATTTTGCCAAATATTTTTGAATGGTGTGTGCAGAATGTTTGCTGTTAAGGCTGGATCTGACTTGAATAGTTCTGCTGATAGCTTATCATTTCCGGGGGCTTTATTGTTTTTAAGGCTCTTTACTGCTCTGATATTAATGGAATTTCTATGTTTACTTCAAGGTCGTGTTCTGCGATGGGTATGTTTGCTGTTGTTTCTGGTTCTGGCCTATTTAGTACTTCTTTGAAATGTTCATTCCATCTACTCTCTTGTTCTCTTTCAGATGTTATTAGATTACCCTGTTTGTCTTTTACTGGCATGTTGGTGTTTCTTTTGTGGCCACAAAGTTTCTTTGTAATTTGATAAAGGTCGCCCATTCTTTGCTCTGAAGCAGCTTTTTCAGCCTCTAGAGCCATTCCTTCGATGAATTCTTTTTTATCTTTTCTAGTGGCTTTCTTAACTTCCTTATTGCAGTTGGAGTATTGACCCATTAGTCTATCTTTTAGTCTATCAGAGTGAGTGTTACATATCTTTTTCTTTAGCTCTTTTCTGTTGTCAATCAGATTCCATGTCTCTGGTTTGATCCATTCCTTGTGTTTTTGGCGTTTGAAACCCAAGATTTTTTCGCTGGTCTTTTTAAACAGATCTTCAACTTCTAGCCATTGCTCATCTACTGTTTCACTTTCTTCCATGTTGTTACTTTTACGTTGTTCTAATAGTTGAAAGCGGTTCTTCAGTTCTAATTTGAAGTCATGGTTGGTTTTCATGTGTCTGAGTTTTCCTGTGTCAAATCTCTGTACCCTGCAAGGTTCTGATGCTCTCATAAGTTTGAGTTTGATGTTTGCTGTGACAAGATGATGGTCACTTCCTACATCAGCGCCTCGCCTTACTCTCACATCTTGTAAGGATCTCCTCCATTTACCGTTAATTGCTATGTGGTCTATCTGATTTTTATCTCTGCCTCCAGGTGATACCCAAGTCAGCTTATGGACCTCCTTGTGTCGGAACAATGTTCCACCTATTACAAGATTGTTCAGTCCACAGAAGTCTACTAGATGTTCTCCGTTTTCGTTCATGATTCCACAGCCATGTTTCCCCATTATTCTCTCAAAACCACTGTTATCTTGTCCCACTTTAGCATTAAAATCTCCCATGATGATTGTTAGGTCTTTTTTGGGGATTTTCTCTATCTCAGCTTGGAGCATTTCGTAGAATTCCATCTTTATTTCTTTATCAGCTTCATTTGTTGGGGAATAGACTTGGATGATTGATGTCTTTATAGGTTTTGTATTTAGTCTTGCTGTTATTATTCTTTCATTGACTGGATTGTACTCAATGAGTGATTTAGATGCTGATTTGTTGAGGATGATGGCAACTCCTCCCTGGTGTTTGTCATCTTTTCTACCAGAGTATATGATTGTATCTCCTGTATTTGTCAAGTTTTTTCCAAACCCTGTCCATCTGCATTCACTTATACCTAGTATGTGCAGCTTGTTTTCCTTCATTTCTCTTAACACTTGAGCTTGTTTTCCCGTCTCGTACATGGTACGGACATTCCAAAAGCCCAGTTAAAGTTTGGTTCTCGCATTCAGGATACTTTTCGTGTGACTAGCTTCCTGTTGGCTTTCACTAGTCCCATTCATATGCGCAGAATTCTGCTGGTATTCTGATGTTACGAGACGAGGGGAGGCTACTGCTGAAGTCTTGATAATGCAGAGGCTATGTACTGGCAGGAAAGACTTACTCACTCGGCTTTCTTTTCGCAAAAAAATATTGCTAGCCAGCGGCATAAGACATCCATAGGACAGTCCCATACACTAGACGCATATCATTACCCTGTGATGCACTACCATCACCAACACACACTACCACTAGTGCTTCACCATGAACTAGACCTAATCACAAACTAATATATTGTTGACGCTGCTGCCGCCATAAAACAGCATACCAATGTCTCGCTTTTTGACT